ATCAAATTGGCAATATTCACGATCCAAATGTCCATTTCCTATTTTGTATTGAAAAGATTGTCAGTGGGATTATTTTCTCTAAACTTTTTGATTTTGGGAATAATTGCGTTAAAATCAAAATGATGAAGATTTATAAAAAGAAAAATATAAAAAATTTTTAAGATTTATTGGAGGATTAAATAAATATATAATTTTAAAAAATATTTCAAATTTTTCATGGGACATGCCCAAACGGCGCGCGGCCATAATGACGCAAAGCCATAACTTGCGGGAAAATTTTCGGCCCATATCAATTTTGGTACCAATCTCTTTAGCTCGATGAGAGAGAATCGTTTAATACTAAATTTGTTAAGATTCGCAAATCTTGAATCAAGTTTTAGGGCTTTGCGCCGTTATGGCTGCGCGCCCGTTCGGGCTATACCCCCGGTTTTTTCATTGCAATTAAATTGTTTTGATAATTTATTTTCTCATTTATTTATTTTGGTTGATTAAAGATTGCCAATTTATTTTTAACTTTTTTAAATGTTTTTACAAACATGATTGGACTTTTCCGTATTGTACCTTACCCTTAGAGTAAAAAACTGCTACCGAGCTGTAGTTTTTGAATGATATAAGTGTTGTGTAGTAGTGACACTACTATAAAAGCCACTATTTGCGTCAGTCTAATTGGATCATACTAGCCCGGCTAGTCCCTGATCTCCTTCGTCTGTTCCAGCTCATCCCTTCGCCTACACATTGTTATTTCTACATTAGATAAATTGTTAAAATATTGCACGTCGACATTCGTACAACCCTCGGACATAACAATAAGATTTAATTGGATTAGGTAAAGCATAGAAAAGTTATATTCAATCAAATGATCCCCCTAATGACCCCGCCCCTTTTGTTTTTTTGACAAATTTAAAGATTTTGCCCTGATTGGCGAAATATGGTTTTGGCAAGATATGGGTTTATAGCCTTATTGGCAAGATATGAGGAAGCCCTCCAATTTATTTTTACTTATTTAAATGATGTAAAAATTTGTTTTTTTTTTAATTTTCTAGTGTTTTATTTAAATTTTCTTCAAGAAAAATGTTTTATTCTCTGTCAACAAAGATTTTTAAACGTCTCAGCTTTCAACAATTACATTCAATCAAATGAACGAATGTTTATTGCTGCGATTTTGTTAAATGTGAAGGGAAACTTGATAAGGGGAAATTTCATATGATTTCTCTCGTAAAACTTATTTTAATTAATTAAAAAACCTTTCTATTAAGGAACGTACCGATCAATTTACTAGTGACCCGCAGGAATTGATTATACCCAAAGCTGAAAATTTTGACTTTCAATTAAATGAGAAACTTGAAGAGAAGGTGTTTAAATTTTTTAAGGCCAAAATTTCAGGCTAGTGCAGTTTACACCCCATAAGCCCCGCCCCTTTTTTCCTCTTTTCTTATAAAATGACCAAAAGTGGTTAAAGATGACCACATAGAACAGTATGGTTCCGTGACTTTGCGCCGAGAACATTTGCGCCGTGACTCTTGCGCCGCGACTTATGCGCCGAGTGACTTTTGCGCCGGGGAACCTTTGCGCCGCGACTTTTGCGCCGCCACTAACATTAAAAATATATCAATAACTACAGCCGGACCTCACTTTAGTAGGGTTGTCGGATAGTTGGAAATCTTCGAATATCCGGATCCGATATCCGAACTGAAAATTTCGGATATCCGGGATTTTTCGGATCCGGATTATTTAAACAATGGCGGCGCAAATGTCGCGGCGCAAATGTTGTTTGTGTTTGTGTTTTTAATTGGTCATTTATCTAAATTTAGAAAAATTTTTTGTAAATGAAACCCCTTCACTGTTTCTTATTATTTTTTATTTCCTTCTAATTTCTTTTAAATTTTTAGACATTTCACAATTACAAGTGAACTATTTGGCTGAAATTAACATTGCAAATCAGTTATTTAAAAAAAGTAGTAACCAACATTTAAAGGAATCCAAATCTCTAAATATTAATCCTAATAATTTCTTTTTCTTTTAAATTAAACTTAATATCATTCAAGCTTTAATTTATTGTTAATTTAACAATTTTTATTTTTCATATTCTTTACAATGCTTAATTTTTACGATTTTTTAGTTTTGAATATTTACATTGCCAAATAAATTTAAAAAAAAGAAAATGTCTCGAAAAATAAATTTTTTAATATTAATTGAACTTACGGTACTTTACGGTTTTGCCACACCCTCCCCATATATTCGCAAGATATTTTTCTTTTTACATAATGGTCAGACTTTCTCCTCCCCGCAATTTTGCTTAAGTTTCCCTATGGCATGTTCAATAAGAGAAAAGATTAATTTTCACTAAAATTGCTAAATTTATATGGGTAATGGATCATTTCTTAATTAATGTTTCTCATTGAATAGGTAAAATTAAGTGAAATTGAGGAGAGGGGAAAGTCTGATCATTCTATATATAAAAAGAAAAATATTTTGCGAATATATGGGGATGGTGTGGCAAAACCGAAAAGTTGGAATTACTCTTTCTCAAACAGGTGTACTGACACGTACAGCTTTGGAAGTTGCTTTTGCTAATTCTCTCTTAAAATATAAAAATGAAAATCTTGGTTTTGATCAAACTTCAGAACAATCATATATTATTGTCAAGTAATTTTCTGCTTCTTAAACAATATTATAATTTGTCTTTAGTTTTGATAAAAATGTAAAAAATTGGTTGTTGGTGAGGAAATTTAATTTTGAGAAGTCTAATCTTTCTCTCTTTTTCAGATAGCATTCTTTGCTGCATGGAGGGATTTAGCCAAAATAAAATAAGCTCAGTGATCTTACAAAAGTAACTCTGACCTCACAAAGGCTAAAAATGTTTACGTTTTTGCAGCTTAAACTTCCCAAGGACATCATTGCACAACAGCGAGATACTTCGCTTCCCAAAAGTTTCTTCCCAAAAAATCATCCATTGGACTTGGATCTTCTCTGGTCTGACCCTAATGTGTTTTGATTTGCGGAGCAATTCAACTGAGTCCCGGCCCTATACCTCAAGAATTGGTGGATAATTTTTTGCGTTCTTGGTACCAATAGAAAGAGTATAAAATGGGCTATATGAACAAAAAATTAAAATTTTCGATTGATTGATAAAAAATTATAATCAAAAAAACTAGGGTCCGGGACTCAGTTGAGGTGTACTCTTTGATTTGTAATGATTTAAACCACGTTTTGCCATTTAAGGGTGATGTAGATGGGTTTGAGTATAATGAAGCTCGACAAAGTTCCTTTTGGTTTGGTCCACAAGAGGTTTATTCGACTTGTAAGAAGCTCGGTATTAAACTCATTGTGCGAGCTTTTTTGCAGGAATGGATACTTTGTTTGGGGCGACTGACTATGTTGTGAAGGTCTTAATAACTAAAAGCTTTGTAGTTTAAATTAATTTTTAGGGAAGTTTTGCCGGTATTCTACATTTACAATTGGGCAATGTTCAAGACAAGAAAGGCAAACCGACTGAGAAAAAAGAAATTCAGGCTGGCATTATTATCTTCCGTCCTGCTACAAAAGAAACTAAGGGAAAGAAAAAGTTCATAGTGGAGTTTGAGAATTTCCCGGAAGCTGAGGAGGATGAGGAAACTCAACTTGAGATACTTGGAAAGGTAGATATTTTTGATTATGGACTATTTGAGATCCAGGATCTCTGCTGTGGTTTTAGCTTAGAAAAGGAAATCTCGGTGTACTATCCTGCTCCTTAAAAATTTCAAGTGTTGCCTTACATTTTTAAATTTAAGCATTTTAATTTTTTCCTCTTTAAGATGCCAAAGGAGGAAGAAATGAGGGGGTCGATTTAAGACTGATTGTGTTAAAATGTAGGAGGATCACAGATTATAAACTATACCTGTGGTCCCTAGAAAAAAAGGAAAAGGGTGCTCTTTCGATATTTTTGAAGTTTGAGTCCGAATCTGAGCTTAGATTTGGTTTCATTCGAACTCCGCACCGAATTCAGGGTAAAAATTAGAAATTTAGGTCTATTCTGAATGCTCTCTTCGAGCTGAATTGAACGGTATCAAAATTATTGTTTCGAAATCTAGACAAAGTTATGTTCATTATGTGCTAAAATTTTCACTAAACACCTAAATTTATTTTGATTAAATCTTTAACATAAAATCTGAAACGTTGCTTTTTAGGAAACGTGCCAGAATTTTGTTATATTGAGAAACATTTATTCGGTACTTGTGGGTTATCTCATACCGGTTTTTGCGGATAAATTTATCCGTACATTTTTTTGTCTTTTTTTCTTCCTAGGTTTCACTCAATTTTCACTGTGGCAAATTTAATAAGAAACAGATCAAAAAAATTTTCCCTCCCTCTATTTAATAAAACACACCAACAAAGAAAAGATTAGCCTACGTTGACATAGTCCCAATTGCAGAAGTTGAAGTTAATAAGCTCATAGGTAAAATAGAAAATCAGTTATTTACGTGTATATCGTGTATTTATGTCTAAAAATAATCCTTATTTTTAATGTGTCTCATTGAATTTGCCACAGGGATAATTGAGTGAAACTGAGGAAAAAAAGACTGACCATTCTTTACAGAAATGTCCGTATAAATTTGTCCGCAAAAACCGGTAGAGTCAGGAAACAAATCCTATGTTGTTTTACTCAAACCAAATTATATGGTCACATTTGGTCAAGGTTCGCATCAGGGTTGACCGGAATAAAATTTTATTTCGAATCGAAACAAAATAAAAAATTTTCTATTTCGCTCTGAACCGAAACGAAATAAAATTTATGTTTCGTTCCGAATCGAAACGAAATTTCGGTCATCCCTGGTTCGCATCTTGATTATTCAATTGATGATGAAGTTACAATTTATACACACAGTGGTTTTAATCAATACAAAACAAATGTAATATATGTGTCGAGACGTTTTGATTTTGTTATTCTATTATAAAATCAATTAAAAATGTCCACCTATGAAATTCAATCCAATTATTGGAACAAACATTGCTTTAATTGGTTACGGCAACGATCTTAAATGTCTTTCATATAGGGATGGAATATTGCATATACAAGAAAAAAACTTTCTCGGGTTGATTAAAAATTATTTCTAAAAGTAAAAATTTAATAAATTTTAGTTGACACTGATGATTTTATTGGTCCTTTCTATTTGGGCAATTTATCAACAACATATGCAGATTCAGGAGCTGATATTTGGTCCCCAGACGGTCTAATTGGAATCAAACTTGGTTTTATCATACAAATTTTTTTAAATTTTTTAAAATTTTATTTTAAAGATGATGATAAGTATTTGAAGAAATTTGTTGGCGTTTAAATTTTTGGTTCTATCTATATTGATCTTAAATATATTAATGATTATTTTTATATTTTTATAAATTTTTGCCTTTTTGCAACTGCTAAAAATATCTGTTAATTTTATTACGGATTTCATTTTTTCCGTTTATCGATTTTATATAAATTTCTCACATTTAATTCTAAAAAATATTTTCAACCCCAAAATATCTTCATCATGTCAAGTTTCCATTTTTCTTCAAAAGTGCTTAATTTAGTTGACACGAGACCAAAAGCTGATGAATTGAAGGTTTTTTTTATTTTTATAACGAGGGCATTTAGCTTAACTATTTTCTAGGGAGCTGTTAAATTGGATCCAAATTTGAAGGAATATTTGCAGTTTGGAGATGAATCAGTAAAGAAATCAATATTAATTAATCAATCCAATTGCTTGAATTCTACGACGTTTGTAACTTTCAGTAGGCAGGTTGTTTTGTGAACCCCCCCCCCCCCCAATTCTAATTTTCCTTCCGACTTCTTTTTTTGAAAAAAAATTTTTTTTAATAAATTTAAAAAGTTTTTTAGTTAAATACACACTTTATTATGAGACCAACAGTTTTACCTCAAATTCTCGTTCATTTGACAGAAATGCTAGTTGGAATTTTGGGGATTTGTAGCGACTCTTCTAGCGGTTTATTTTTAATTTTTTTTTATTTTAAGAAATTTTTTTTTAAATTTAAGTTGCTCGCCGTTTTGGCCTTTCAAAAGTTCCTCGTTTCTTTCGTTTAGTTCTTCAATTAGAACGGCCTTTCTACGATTTATTTAGAATTCTTGTTGAGCTGTTTTGTCGAACATGGAAGGATATGAATGCAAAGTTTGGAATTTTTTATTTTTGGGAATTATGGGATAAAATGTCTCTTTTTGTTTTTGAGAGTTTTTAATTTTTGTAAATTGAAAAATTTTAGTGGGGAGGGGAGCCCAAATTTCTTTGGGCATTTTTTGTGAAGATTTTTTTGTTTTTTTTTTAATTTTTTATTAAAAAATGGTAACCTCGGAATTCTCATGTTCCTTTTCTCTTTTAAGTTAATTTTCAAAATTTACCCAAAAATGTTCTTTTTTAGGGGAGGGGAGCCCAAATAAATTAAAAATTAAAAAAAAAAACAAAAAAATCTTTTAAAATTTTACAAATTAGGTAATTTTAAAATTTTTTTCAAAGGTTTGATGAAATTAACAAAGACCAATTTGAACGTTCGCTTTTTGAAAATCCAAATTCATTGGAACAATTAGAAATTGAAATGCTTCGCAAACGATTTTCTTATTTCAACATGCAAAAGGTTGGATTCTTTTTATTTTAAAATTTACGAGGTTTTCGACAATGGACCTCGTTAAAAATAAATTTACTAATGTAAATATACCTCAACTTAAGAAATTTTTTTTTGGAATTTTTGGCTAGACATTGAGTGGAATATCCCTTGTTTAAACGATACCACTGATTTAGAATTGAAGGAAGACTTAGTTTTTGGAATTTTTTTGGTGTTTTAAGGCAACGAATTTGGATCCTTTGACTCTTCCAATTTAACAGAATTAGCTTCTAATGAATTTTGTGATCAACAAACAATTCAACAAAAAGAGGATTGGTTAATGTTTAGAAAAATGGTTTTCTCAAAAATAATTTTTAATTAAATTTTTTTGAAAGGTTCAAAAAACGCCTCCAGGACTTTTATCGCTATGTGCAATAATTGAGTATTTTATTTTAATTAAACTTTATTTTAAAAATTATTTTTTTAGTTTAACACAAACAAATGCTCCCTCATCCAAGGAAAATCAATTAGAAGAATTAAATTGGTACTCTATCACGTACAGCATTGGAAGCTGCTTTTGCTAATTCTCTCTTAAAATATAAAAATGAAAATCTTGGTTTTGATCAAACTGCAGAACAATCATATATTATTGTCAAGTAATTTTTTGCTTCTTAACGATATTATAATTTGTCTTTAGTTTTGATGAAAATGTAAATACTTTTAGAACCAGCAGGTCGGGTTGGATCTTCTCTGGTTTGACCCTAATGTGAGTTAAATTTGCGGAGCAATTCAGGGGTTGCTTTAGTATAGGTCCACAGAGATCGAACCTCAAAATATATACCATTCGATTCGTCTCGCCGAGCTAAGTTCAAATATGCAAGAATTTTCTGCCGGAGTCGAAAACTCGCAGAGATACAGGCCCCCGAAAATCGAAAAACCATAGGAGGGTTTATCGTTAGGCTACTCCCCAATTGTCCACTCCCCAAATATCCGGGAGCCCATTCCTGGCCTTTCTAAGTTTCGAAACTTACAAAAACAGTTTAGCATATGTTGATAGGGTCGTTTGAGTTATCAATCCTTATTTTTCCATATTTTGAGATTTTGTCCTTATTTTCGATTTTATATTCACTTTTAGATAAATCTCTTGTTGGCCCTTTCAAATCAACAAAAAGTTTAAATAAGCTCAGTGATCTTACAAAGGTAACTCTGACCTCAAAAAGTCTAAAAATGTTTACGTTTTTGCAGCTTAAACTTCCCAGGGACATCATTGCACAACAGCGAGATACTTCGCTTCCCAAAAGTTTCTTCCCAGAGAATCATCCATTGGATCTGGATCTTCTCTGGTCTGACCCTAATGTGCAATGTTCAAGACAAGAAACGCAAACCAACTGAGAAAAAAGAAATTCAGGCAGGCATTATTATCTTCCGTCCTGCTACAAAAGAAACTAAGGGAAAGAAAAAATTATCGAATTTCGCGGAAGCTGAGGAGGATGAGGAAACTCAACTTGAGATACTTGGAAAGGTAGAGATTTTTGATTAAAAGTTTATGGCCTATTTGAGATCCAGAATCTTTGTTTTTAGCTTAGAAAAGGAAATGAGGCAGACTGCGCCCCGGTGGACTGACCTGCTTCTTAGAAGTTATAAGGGGGTCAACCCAAAATACCTACACCCAGAAGACCTACTCCCAAAAGATTTACTGACCCAAAAGACCAACGCCCAAAAGACCTATTGACCCAATTTGAAAGGAAATATCAAAAGGGAATATAGAAGGATTTGGAGGGATTAAGGGAATATCAATTGATTTAGTGTGATTGAAGGTGATAGCGATATCTACCAACCCAGAGATATAGTACACATACTCAAAATACGTCACTATTGGTTCTAAAATACATAACGAGTACTTATCTTCATAGAGCTGGGTATTTATCCTCCTTAACCCCTCTAAATCACACGATATTCGCTTTAAAAATTTGTAGGTCTTTTGGGTTTAGGTCTTTTGGGTTTAGGTCTTTTGGGGTGGACTCATTATAAGCGTTGCCTTACATTTTTAACTTTAGCAATTTTAATTTTTTCCTCTTTAAGATGCCAACCGAGGAAGAAATAAGTGAGTCGATGCAAAACTGATTGTTAAAATGCAAAACAGGATTTGCTTCCTGTTTCTTTCGTTGAATAATTATTTCTCGATTAAAGAAAATTCTGGAACGTTTACTAAAAAGCAACGTTTCAAAGATTTTATGTTAAAGAGCTAATCAAAATAAATTTTGGTATTTAGTGAATAATATCAATCCTTAACATAAAATCTTTGAAACGTTGGTTTTGGGGAAACGTTTCAGAATTTTCTTTAAGCGAGAAATATTTATTCTACATATAAAAAGAAACAGGAATCAAATCCTGTGTTGTTTTACTCAACCCAAATTATATGGCACATTTGGTCATAGTTCGCATCAGGGTTGACCGGAATTTTTTTTTATTTCGAATCGAAAAAATAAAAAATTTTCTATTTCGTTTCTGAGCGAAACGAAATAAAATAAAAATTTTAAAAATATTTTTCAGTTCATAAAAGCTTTTAATCAATATTTAAATGATATCACTCCAAATCCTCTGATATCGCTCAATATCACAGAGAAAAAGTGTAGCAATCTCGATTAATGCCACAAGACTCACCAAAATCCCTGTTAATGGTTAAATCCTTTCTTTGATTCATAATCCATCTATGTCCCTCAATTAAAATCAATTAAGGCGTGGTATATAAAGGGGACTCAATCATGCCGAACTCAATCGCGCGGATAAACTCGTGTGGACTCAACTGAACTGTGCGATTATTTTGGTTGAAAAAATTCAGAAATTTAACCAAAATTCCACAAAATTTTCCAAAAATTTTAAAATTTTGAAATTTTTTACGAAAATTTCCGTTATTAGGGGTGTATTTTTATTCCTTTCGTCCGCGAAAATTTTTTATTTCGCTCCGAAACGAAACGAAATTTCGGTCATCCCTGGTATGTATCTTGAATATGCATTTGATGATGAAGTTACAATTTATACACATAATGGATTTCATCAATACAAAACAAATGTAAAATACGTGTCTAGACGTTTTGACTTTGTAATTCTTAAATCAAATAAAAATGTCATGACGGAAAGCCCGCTTATGAAACTCAATCCTATGCTTGGAACAAACATTGCCTTAATTGGTTACGGCAATGAACTTAAATGTCTTTTTTATAGAAATGGAATATTACACATCCAAGAAAAACAAACTTTCAGGGGTTGATTAAAAAAATTTTAAAGACTAAAAATTTAATAAATTTTAGATGACACTGATGACTTTGTTGGTCCTTTCTATTTGGGCAATGTATCAACAACAAATGTTTTTTATTTGATTTTAAAGATGATAATATTTGAAGAAATTTTTTGTCTTTAAAAATTTTTTTCAACTCTAATTTTTGTTTTTTATTGATTTTATATAAATAATAAATTTATTATAAATTTTTAAAATTTTATAAATTTTCTTGCCTTTTTGCAATTGCTAAAAATATCTGTTAATTTTATTACAGATTTCATTTTTTTTCCGTTTATCGATTTTATATAAATTTCTCACAATTCTAAAAAATATTTTAACTCCAAAATATTTTCATCATGTCAAGCTTCCATTTTTCTTCCAAAGTGCTTAATTTAGTTGACACGAGACCAAAAGCTGATGAATTGAAGGTTTTTATTTTTATAAAGAGGGCATCTAGCTTATCTATTTTCTAGGGAGCTGTCAAATTGGATCCAAATTTGAAGGAATATTTGCAATTTGGAGATGAGGCAATAAAAGAATCGATGTCAATTCATCAATTTAATTGCTTGAATTCTACAACGTTTGCAACTTTCAATAGGCAGGTTGTTTATTTTTAAGAATTTTTAGCCAATTTTTAATTTTAGTTTGTAAGGTTGGACACAATCGGTTATTGACCGGTACTCCCGGTTAAGAATTTTATTCAAAATCGGTCTTTGTGGGATTTTTTAATCAACATTTTCATAAATTTCTTTTTTTCAGTTTTTTAAAATTTTATAAAAACTTAATTTTTAGCAAAAAAATATTAATATTTTTAAATATATAAATAAAAATATTAATATTTTTGTTTTAAAACCGACTATGTCCATCCTTATTCCCATGCCTTTTTAAAATTGAAAAAAATTTTTTTCTAGGACCAGTCATTATCCGACTTTATCTCTCAACTTTGCAAACAATTTGGAATAGAACCTGGTTCTTTTAATTATGGAGACAAGGAACATTTTGGTTTAATGTTTGATGATAAAATTAATTTTGTGACTGAACAAAACAAAAATTTGATTAATCAGGTTTTTGGATTTTTAAAAATAATTTTTTTCTTATTTTAAGGGTTTTATTCTTAAATTAACCGCTTCTCCAATAAATTATGCAAAATATTTCTTTAAAAATTTGTCTTCAAAGAATTTGTTGTCAGCAGAGAATTTATCTTTGTTTTCCTCTCTCTGTCAGGATTTTGTGTTTATTGAAGCCTTTACTTGCTTACAGGTTTTTTTTTTGAATGTTTAGAAGGGTTTTTTTTGTAGAATTTTCTTTAAAAAAATTGTGTCTTCGTTCTGACTCTGTTTTTGCAATAAAAATCCGAAAACATGGTTATTTTTCGCAATAGCATTCTAATCTGATTAAACAAGGGAAAATTTTATGGCTCATAAAAATTCGGTTCTTTGTTTGGTTTTTAACATAATCCCAATTATTCCTAAGAACTCGTCATTTGATCAAGGCCTTTAAAAAATTTTCAACTTCCCATCCTGTCTTTTCTACTTTTTCAATTTATTTAATTTTTAGGGTATCCAACGACTTACCAAAATAATCGAGGAAACTGAAAATTTTTTTTCAGCCCATTTGGGCCTACTAACTATTCTTCTTCAATTAATGCAACAATTTCCTCAAATATTTCCTTGGCTGGAATTATCTACTCAATTTGTTCGTAAAATTACTTTTTTTGTTAATGGACAGTCAAAATTGGAACAAAATGGGACGAGAGCTTTGGCTTTGGAAATGCTTTTGGCTATTTCTGAACACTGGTTTGGAAGATATTTTTAGGGGGAAATCCTAGTTTTTTATTTTTTCTAACAAATTTAGGTTCTACTTTTTTTGGAGGCCTAACATAAAACTAAAATTACATTAAAATCGGCCAAAAAATTTTTTTCTTTTTTCACAATTTTTGGCCTTATTATTTAATAAAATTCCCATTTAATAGAAATTCTGGTTTAAAACCGATTTTTAGACGGAATTCTGATTTAATAAAAAATTTAATTTCAAAAAATCCTTTTTAAAATTAAAATTTTCTTTTTCAGTGAACATTTAACAGAATGTCTAAAATCAGAAATGCCTGTAAATTTATTAATTAGACATTTGGACAATACAAACGAAAGAGTGATGATTAGTTCAATTTCTTTAATTAATTCAGTTTATGGATTGGCTGATCGAGAGGAAAGGATAAATATTGTTAAGGTTTTTATTTTAAATTTTTTTGGAAATATTTTTTGAATAGGGGGATTGCCTTTCCTTCAATTTTTTATATTAAATTTTCTTCAATAATTTTTATCTATTTTTCTCTTATTTCGAATTTTTAACCTTTAATTAGAATATTTCTGTTTGAGGAAAATTTAATAGGAAATGAAGAAAAAATTCTTTATTTACTTTTTTGGGGGTCTTTTTGATTATTTGGTAATTTTGGGAAATTGTTATTTTTCCACAAAATTCCACCCAAAATTTCGAGACAATAGAATAATTAAACCAAAAAAATTTTTTTTCGAATCTTTTATTCAAATTTTTTATTTAAATTAATTTTCAACCAAATAAAATTAAAGTTATTACACGAAAAACCATTCATTTCTGCAATTGGACGTATTTTGGATAGAGAAGAAAATTTAATTAATGAACAACAATTAAATAAGAAAATTTTAAGCCAACCTATTCCCTCACAAATTTCTCCAGAAAAATCAAAACTTTATGAACAAATTGGACGTTTTCAACAAATTAGATTTGATGAGGTTTTTTTGAAATATTCTGAAAAATATTTTTAGGTATGTGCTTTGGCCTTACGAACTCCGACAGACAAAGAAATTGATTTTCTTAAAGTTTGTTTTTAAAAATATCTTTAATTAAAAATTTGTCTTTTTTGGGTCTTTTTAATTATTTTGGGAATTTTGGAGAAATTTTTTTATTTTCTTTTTCCTGCACTTAAAAATTGCCCCGTAAAAATGATAATAAATTCGTCTTTGATTAGTGATGTGATCCAATTTTTTGTAAAAAAATTTTTTAGGAAAGTAAAAGGGGGAAATAAGTCAGGAATTTTACCGAAGATTTTATTTTAACGACTTTTAATATCCAACTTACTGCAAAGAATCGAACCATACCAGGTCAAACCATACCATAATTTGGTTTAGAATTGTCGAATCCGGGACGATCTGGTGTGGTTCGATTCTGCTTGTCGAACGAATTTATAGCTCTGTGGTAAGTTGAGGGTACCACCTTTAAGCTGTTAAAATTGAATCTCATTTTAAATACATTCGAGTCATTTTTAAATAATTTGGCATAATCCACAAACATCCCAAAACTTTTTTTATTTTTCATTTTTTGAACAAAAATTTTAAGAAAATTATTTCTTTCTTTTTTGAAGGCTCTCGGCAACGAATTTGGATCTTTTGAGTCTTCCAATTCAGCAGAAACACCTTCTAATGAATTTTGTGATCAACAAACAATTCAACAAAAAGAGGATTGGTTAATGTTTAGAAAAATGGTTTTTTCTTTAATTTTTTTATTTAAAATTTCTTTAAAAGGTTCAAAAAACGCCTCCCGGACTTTTATCAATATGTGCAATAATTGAGTATTTTAATTTAAATTTCGTTTAAAAAATTATTTTTTTAGTTTAACACAAGCAAAGGCTTCCTCTTCCAAGGAAAATCAATTAGAAGAAGAATTAATATCTTCAAATTTGGCTTGGAATAAATTAAAAGAGGTATTTTAATTTAATTTTTTTGGGGGTTTATGTTAATAGTTGGGGGTTTTTACTAATTTTGAATGTTATTTTACCAAGGGTATTTTATCTAAAAGCTAGATTTTTTAGGAAAGGGATGGTTTAAAAACTCCGTTAAGCCGTTATTTATTTATAAATATCTGGCAAAAAAATTTTTTTATTTAATGACCGGATAAGTGAAATGAAAAAAAATTAAATTAAATTAGACTACGCTTTTACTTTGATGTTCCATGTGCTTATCTTTTAAGCACGCATAATTCTATTTCTTTTAAATTAGCTTCTATTTGTTGTTTTTTAAGTTTTTATTTTTAAATTGCAATGCTTGTAAATATTCTTATGTTAGAGTTTCTCCATTTAATTTATACAGTCGTTAACTAACAGTTTTTTTTTGTAAAAGAAATTTTTATTTTGGGTTGGGGAATTTTTTTTGTTTCAAAATCTTTCTTACAGGAGGGATTTTTAAATTAAAAAAAATTTTTTTTAATAAAATTAATATTTTTCTAGTTAAATACGCACTTTATTATGAGACCAACAGTTTTACCTCAAATTCTCGTTCATTTGACAGAAATGCTAGTTGGAATTTTGGGGATTTGTAGTGACTCTTCTAGCGGTTTATTTTTAATTTTTTTTACTTAAAAAATATTTTTTAAAATTAAAGTTGCTCGTCGTTTCGGCCTTTCCAAGGTGCCTCGTTTCTTTCGTTTAGTTCTTCAATTAGAACGGCCTTTTTACGATTTATTTAGAATTATTGTTGAGCTTTTTTGTAGAACATGGAAGGATATGAATGCAAAGTTTGGAATTTTTTTGTTTTTGGGAATTATGGGATGAAATGTCTTTTTTTTGTTTTTGAGTGTTTTTAAATTTAATTTTATTTTTGTGGATCCAATCGGGTACCAAAAATAATTTTTTAATTAGTAATTTTATTGGTAATTTTCCTCAAAAATTTTAAGATAAATTGAAAAATTTTTAGGGAGGACGGAGGGGTGCCAATGCCCCATGGCTAATACCAAATTTCTTTGGGCATTTATTTTTTAGGGAAGATTTTTTATGTTTTTTTAAATTTTTTACTTAAAAAATTGATAACCTCGGAATTTTTGTTTCCATGTTCCCTTTTAAGTCAATTTATCCAAGAATATCTTTTTTATCAAAAATTTTTAAAATTTATTAAAAAAATTTTCAAAGATTTGATGAAATAAACAAAGTCTATAATGTTGTCCAAGACCAATTTGAACGTTCACTTTTTGAAAATCCAAATTCCTTAGAACAATTAGAAATTGAAATGCTTCGCAAACGATTTTCTTATTTCAATATGCAAAAGGTGGGGGGTTTTTTTATTTTAAAATTTATTTAGGGGTTTTTACAATCGGACCTCTTATAAAATAAATTTATTAAAATATACCTCAACTTAAGATAATTTTTTTGAAATTTTTTGGTTGTTCATTGAGTGTGATATCCCTTATTTAAGCGATACACCCCATTTAAAATTGAGAGCCGACTTTTAGTTTTTGGAGTTTTTTTGTTGTTTTAAGGTTGAGGTTTTTGTTTGGAAACTAATTTAAAATACACCTGGGGCCTATTTCAATTGTCCACAGATTCTGCATTCTGTGCACAGAACACAGATTCTGTGGAAATTCTGTTTCAATTAAATTCTGTGTGCACAGAATCTGTGGTGCCCGCAGATTCTGCGGAAACATCCAATGATTCTGTGGAAACATTCCGCAGATTCTGTGGATGAAAATTTCTGTGGAAAATATAAAAATCTGTGGATTTTTTCCACTGATCCACAGAATTTGTATTTCAATTATTTTTCTGTGGTTCTGTGTATTTTTTCTTCTAAATTCAAATTTTTTATTTCCGCGTTTTTGAAAATAACAGTTTTATTGAAACGAAAAATGGTTTGGACAGTTCGGTACTACCGCAGTATTAATGGTACCTGATTTTTTGAAGTAAAACTTTAAAAATTCTTAAATTAAACTGAAAAATATTGTAAAGATTTAAAAATTTTCCCTCCAAATCACATAACATCCCTTTAAATCTCTTTGATATCACTTTAAAACCGCTGATATACCGCTTAATTTTCTTGTTCATCCAATATCCTTAAATCTCCAATTAAATTAATGTCCTAAAGCAGGGTTCGGATCGGAAAAATCAGGAGATGTCGATCCGACATGTGGCTTTTTCAAACTACGATAGAAGTTGTTGCAAGGGAGGGAAATGTTTGGGGATTGTTTAGTCAGAAATTGAGGTTCCTGGAAATCGAAAATGCCTGGAATCCAAAATTATAGTCAAATCGGAACTTTAAAATCGTAGAGGAGTGATTAAGTGGGATATCCATTGATTTTGAGGTTTAATATATTGGAGTGATTAAGGAGGAAATCTATCATTAAATAGGAGGAGAGATTATGACGGATATCAATGAGAGATCATGGGAGATATCCCAGTATACGCTATACAGATATATTCTATAGATCCTGGTAAACATCCCCTCATTAGAGATATCCATGATGATTAGAACATCATAGCTCTAAATTTCAGAATCTCTCACGTTTTTTATTTTTTTATTGCTTGAATATAACAAAAACTGCGTAAAAAAGATGTACCTTTTTCAAAATTAATTTTAAGCAATAATTTTAGGTAATAAAATTATAATTTTTATATCAAAAAATAGAGAATGATTCAAACTTTAATAATCTTTAAAAATTTTGAAATTTGGTTAAGCCTAGGCCTAGAAAAAAATTGTTAAAGTTTTTCCACAGAAAGTTCGCAGAAAAAATTTTAGGGTGGATTTTTTAAAGAATTCTGTGTATTTTCCGCAGACCACAGAAATAATTGAAACAGAAATGCACAGAATCGACTAAAAAAGCCACAGATCTGTGGATTTTTTTCTGTGCACAGAAAAATAATTGAAATAGAATTCTGTGGTTTTTGCATGTTTTTGGATGTTTTGCAGAATCTGTGGATGTTTCCACAGATTCTGTGCATGTTTCCACAGAATCTGCGGACTTCTTTTTCCGCAGAATCTGTGGAATAATTGAAACAGAATTTCTGTGGTTCTGTGGTCTGTGCACAGAACGCAGACCGCAGAATCTGTGGACAATTGAAATAGGGCCCTGATTATAAGATATAAATTCTTTTTAAGGTTGTTTTTAAAGTGGGGTCTCTAACTGTGTAACATTAAACAAAAAAAAATCTAAAAAAAATTCTAAAAATCTCTTTAAAAATCCTCCAAATTATCATCTCAATATTTCATTACACAATAATATATAGAAATAGCCAATAAAATAAAAATTAACAAAATAATAGATCCAATAATTAACATTTTATGAAAAGATTTATTCTTGTCTTTACATTCATTTATTTTTGTTTTGTTTGTTGGGTTCTGTGTTTTTTGTGTTGTTGTTTCGTCTATTTCTGCTAATTTTTGTTGTTCTAAAATTGTTTTTGAGGGTTGAAAAGGTGGAGGAATTGATGGAGGATTTTTAGTTGTTGGAATTGCTGGAGTAATTGTTGTTTTTTTCCTTATTTACTAGTAATGTATAATCACTTTTTGAGAATAATTTTGTTGTCGTTTCTTTATCAAGAATAAATCCAAATTTCCTTAATTTTTTGATAATATTTTCATCATAACCATCTCTTCTTTTATCTCTAGTAGCAACGACAGTCATTCTCGTTGTTTCTCTATATTTTTGTTCAATTTCTTCTTCATTGTCATAATATTCATAAATTCCATCTTCCATGTCATCTATTCTATCATATTCTTCATACTCACTTGCATCATTTTCTTGATTTTGTTGTCCTTTGCCTTTCCTTTAAAATTAAAAAAAATTATTTTTAATAATTTTTTAAAATTTACCCGAAAAATAAAAACAATAAACCCAAAAAATAAAATAAATAAAATATTTTATTTTTTAAATTTATTGTATTAGAAATCATTAAAAGATTTGAAAAAAAAATTATTTTTAATTATTTGATAAAAGAAAATTTTCTTTTTTTTTAAATTTATATAAATGTTTTTTTATTCAAAATTGAATCATTGACACATTTTTAATGAAATTAACAAACAAAAAAAAAGATGATACATTTAAAAAAAATTAATTGAGTTAATTTTTATTTTTTTAATGACAATTTTGTTTTTAAAAAACAATTAAGTGAAAGAATGAATAAACAAAGAAAAATGTTTTTCTTGAAAAAATTAATTTAAAAATAAAATTTGAATGTTTTAAAGAAATATTCGTCAAAATGTATCCAATAACGATTTTTTAAAATTTGGTTTTGGGTGGAGAATGTCTTAAGGCTCCTATCCTATATATGATTTTTTCAGTCCAAAAGGGGGTATTAGAAATTATTATAAAAACGAGATCCGATTGTATTTAAAAAATTTTTAATTTTAAAATAAAATATATTTGATTAATTCTATTTTGGATTTTTTAAGAATTTTTTTCTGAAAAAATAAAAGATTAAGCTTTAAATTTAGCTTTGAATCTACTCAATTTTTATTTTTTCTAGATTTGGAAATGTGAACAACGAGAACAAGAAGAATTGGAATTAAATAGTGAAGATATTCAGTTAATTAAATTAAAAGAAAAAATAATTTTTAAATTATTTTTTCAGACCTTTAAGGGACCATTTACGTCCAGAAATTGAAAATTTAGCAATTCACCGAAGAATTGCTTTGTTAAAAAAAGGAATGAATTTTCAACGTGTTTTGCCTTTAAAAACAATTAAAGGTGTTTTTCTGTTTATTTAAATAATTAATGTTTTCTTTAGAAAATCAGACAATTCTTTCTCTCCCTTCTTCTGTTTCTGTTCATAGTTCACCTGTTCATTCTTCTGGTTTATTAAATTCGGTATTTCGATTATTTAAAAATAGAGAACAAATTCGGAAAAAATAGTGGGTAAAACAAGGAAAGAAAAACTTTCTCCAGAGATTTTCAGAATTCGAATTAAAATCAGAATTCCATACGAACATGTGTTTTATTTCGAAAGAAACATGTTTTTCTGTAAATGTTTGTTGTTCAAAACAAACCAATAAAAACATTTAAAAACATACAAACATTTGTTTTTAAATCAGCCTCAACAACAACAACAATATTGGTTTTGGTGTTTAGATGAAAAAGAAAAGTTTTTCAATGTTTGTGATTGCCATCTGAACAATGGAAAACATTTTGAAATTATTTCTGAAACGAACAAGTTTATTAAAATAAAAACAAGTTTATTTAAAACAAGTTTATTTTTATAGAAAATTGTTTGTTTCTGAAATTAAAAACATTTTAAATGGACAACAATTAATTTCTCATTTAAATCAACAACAACATGGGGTTGGGAAGTTGTACAAAAAGAGTCAGAATATTTTACGGTGAATTTTGAAAAATAATTTTTTTTGAAAATTTTTTTTTTAATTTTTTAGTTGTGGCATTTTTATTGAATTTGTCAATTCTTCCGAATTTTTACTCTGTGCACAAAATGAACAAGATTCTGCTGATTGGTTTGAGGCATTAAATTGTTTATGTTGGCCACAAAAATCGTTGCAAAACAATATTAATATTAAAAAAGAGGTGATTTTTAAATTTTTTTTAAATTTTAAAAATTTTATAAAAATTTCAAAATTAGAAAAAAATTTTTTTAATTAAAGGTTGATCAATTATTAAATTTACAAATAAATATTCGTTTAATGGATGTACCCAAATTAGAAGAAAAATTAAAAATACCACAACTTCCAACAGATTTTGATTGGATTTCTACTTAATATTTAATTTTTAATTTTTTTAAAATTAAAAAAAATTTTTCCCTCAATTTTTTTTCTATTTATTTATTTAATATAGCTATTTAATATTCACCCAAAAATTGTTTTGATTTACTTTTAGCTTCTCGTGAATAATTTAAAAATAAAAAGAGAAGAATTTCCGCTTTTTAAATTGAAATTTTTGGTTGGTATTTAGAGAAAGTAAAGTTATTGAAATAAAAAATAAATAAAAATGGGTAGGATTGAATTTCTAAAGTTTTTGGAGAATAATTTTGGAGAGACTCAAATGGACCCAAAATGTTTGTTTGTTTTGTTTGAAATGTTTTGTTTGTTTTATTTAAAACAAGAAGTTTTTAAACAATGTTTGTTGAAAATGTTCGTTGATGTTTGTCTAAAACATTTAAACAAGTTTATTTTAGAATGTTTTTACAAACATTTAAAAACTTGTTTAAATTTTAAAACTTTGTTTGTCTGTTTAATTCAAACAAGAAACATGTTTATTTAAATGTTTATCTAAAACAACATTGAGAATAAGTTTGTTAGAACATGTTTGTTTTAAAATGTTTTTAAAAATTTGTTTAGACAAGTTTTGTTTGTATTTTGTAAAACATGTTTTAATATTTTTTAATTTATACATATGTATCAAAAACATTTTGTGGGATAATTAATTTCCAGGCAGATTTTCTCCAGTTTCTTTTAAATTAATAAAATTTAATAATTATTTCCTAATTTAAATATTAGCTTAAACTAGCAATTTTAAAAATTTAAATAAAAAAATTATTAAAATCCTAATAATATCTCATTTAAATACATACTAAATACATAAATATGAGGAAAAATAAAAACTGGCATTTATCGTCTATTTATTGCCACAACAAGTAAAAATTATAATTCATAAATGTTTCTCTCTCAATTATGTATTTAATAGTCAAGTATTTAAATTAAATTATTTTTAAATACCAGTTTATGTTTAAGTTGGAAAAAACAATTTTGATTTCTGTTTTAAACAAGTTTATTAAAACATTTAAGAATGTTTGTTAAAAACATGTTTATCAAAATGTTTAGATTTGTTTGTTCTATTAAAAACAAGTTTATTAAAACATTTAAGTTGTTTTATTGCTAAACATGTTTTTATTACACGAAAACAAGTTTTTGTCAGGTTTATTTAAAACAAGTTTATTTTTAAACATGTTTTATTTCCACTAAAACAAGTTTTATTTCCTTTAAAACAAGTTTTTAAAAACAATTCCAACTTGTTTTAATAGTCTCTCACCATGTTATTTGAGTCTCAGTTTCTAATTTTCTACTAAATTTTAGGATTTTCTTTAACTAAAAAAATTTTAGAAAATCTTTGGCCTAAAATTAACAAAAAATTAATTTTCCACCTTTTCTTTTAAAATTTTTTATTTTATTACTAAACAATCCCAATTTTCTTTATTTTTCTTTAATTTCCCAACCACCACCCCTCACCTCGTTTTGCGCCCACCGGTAGAAGTAGTCAGAAAATGTGAAGAATAAAAAAAAAGAGAGATGCGGGACAACAAAATTCAATTTGCATAATCCGCCCATTTTACGCCTCTTCCCTTTCTTTTTTTATTCCTTTCACGCCACACTACTTAATACTTAACCAATTTTTTTTTTGTGGACGATGATGGGTTAAAAATGTGTGTTTGTTGTTGTTGTTGATGGTTTTGGGGAGGAAAAAAAGGGGGAAGGTAGGGGGGGGGGGGGGGGGAATTTAGTGTGGATTGAAAGGAAGAATTGCTGTGTTGGCAGCTGACCCTAACACCTCCTTCCTCTTCCTCTCCTTCCCCCTCTTCTCCTCATCAACAAAACCCCATTTATGGATGGCGTCAGAAGAGGTGAAGGAATGCCGCTGCCTGTAGAAAAAATAAATGGTAGTATCAGTCAATTTTGTGTCGTTTTTGGCCATTTTTCTGTCCCCTCTTAAACCTCTCTAATAGTAATCCTTTTATTTTATAATGAAATATTGTCTATTCAATTACTAGGATCAAAAAATTTTCAACTAAAAATAGGGGAGATGATAAAAAATTTTTGGAAAATTGTGAAGGAGAGGACATTGAAATAAGGGAAATTTGGAAATTTTATAATAAATCCCAAATTTTATAATAAATTAATTTATAGAATTCTAGAAAATTTAAAAATAAAATAATAATGATTGGTTAACTTCTTATTTTATTAAACTCCGCCCCTTTTTTTAATGTTTTAAGTTTTGTTCTTTAATTAACAACTTTGTTTTTATTTCTCTAACTTTTGTTTGTGTTTGTTTAAAACAAACAAATGTTTATTTTATTAAACCCCGCCCCTTTTCTAATGTTTTAAGTTTTGTCCTTTAATTAACAACATGTTTTTATTTCTCTCACCCATGTTTGCCTTTGTTTGTTTGTTTCTCTAAAAACAACAAACAAATGTTTATCTAAACAAAGTTTTAATAAATGTTTCCCAACTTTTATTTTAAAACAAAAGAGAAAAGAAATGTTTTTGTTTTGTATATTATTTTTCATCTTTTCTTTCTCTTTTTAGACTCCGCCCACTTTTATTTTATATCCCGAACAAACCGTTATTGGGCTCTTCTTCATTGCATCAACTGCCAGTAGTGGAGGGGACATTTTCGTTAATATTTTGCTCTGAAGCAACAAATAAAAAAATATTTTTTATTTTTTTATTTAAAGAATATTATTTTCTAAATTGAAAAAAATTTTTTTGCCCCTTTAAAAATTTTTTTTCTGTCCTTTAAAAATTTTTTTAAATTAAAAAAAATAAAAATTGGGGGAACTAATGGCCTAAAATTAAAAAAAAATTAATTTAAAATATTTTTAACTAAATTTAGAAAAATAAAAACTTAAATAAATGAATGAAAAGCTTTTTGGAAGAATGTGACTTTGTGAAGGAAAAAAAGAAAAACAAGGTCCCGCCCCTTTTTTCGACTAAAACCCAATTTGAATACATTCATATGCGCATATTCATTTTGCCCAAATTTATTTTCCCTCCCTTTATTTTGCCAAAAAATTTAAATGTTTTTTATTATTCAGTAGAGACCCTCTCTCACCCCTCTATATTTTAATCTATTCTTTTCTCTAATTTAGCAAAACACATGCAAATCACTGCCGGCAGCCAAACATGAATAATAATAAAAATGCTAACAATGGAAAAGAAGTGGGCGGGGCTAAAACAAGTTTGACAAACATACAAGCAAATATTCAAAATACAACAAACATTCCAACAAACATCCAAACAAACATCTCTACAAACATTCAAACAAACATCTCTACAAACATCCAAACATCAAAAACATTTCCAACTTTGTCAACAACAACAACAACTTTTCCTCAAACATTCCCTTCAATCCCAGTTATCCAACAAACAACAAACACACAAACATTACCAACTTGTTTAGATTATCAAAAACATGAGCAACAACAAGAAATACAACAAGTCAAACACGAATTGTTTGGTTCAGATAGAAATGTTGTTAACAACAACAACATAACTTCTCTAACTTCAATAGACTACAACACAACATTGGTTAGACATACAGACCCCTCCTCTTCTCAAACAAACACTCAAACACCTGTAATTATACGTTGCCCTACAAATGATAATAATGATAACAATATTTATTCTAATCAATTAAATTCTTTTGATTATTTTAATCATCAATGGATGCCCCATATAGGGATTTGCCCTTCTATGGTAGAAATGACTGGTGAAAACATCGAAAATAGTAATGGGGCTATTAGAGTCCTGCAACAGCAACAAATACCTCAACATGCTATAGAAGCAATCCAGGCAACTTTAAATATATTTTTTTTAATCAAAATAATTAAAAAAATTTTAAAGTCTTCCCCTCCTTATTGGTGGTTAGATCCCCAACAACAAATGGCAACGGCAGCAGTCTCTCATCCTCATCAACCTTTTCTTTTTGCAACGGAATGGGCAACTAATCCAAGTTGTAGCAACAACGACCCTGCCTATCAGGCAGCTGTTTCTGCCTATCAAGCAGCGGCGCAACTAATTTCTAATCCAAACGATTTAGAAAATCCGTACCAATCGGCCTTTGGGGGAATTAATATTCTACAACAACCCCCAACTTTAATTAGCCAATTCCCCTTTTCTAATGAAGAACAATTACAACAATGGGCTGGTGGTTTACAATTTAATAATAATTTTCCTTTTGTTGGGCAAGGCGTTATTTCTAGTTATAATAATAATGTGTCAGACAATATACAACTGTCTAGAACAAATACAGAACTTAATGAAACACAAGTAAAGTTTTTATAAATGTTTTAATTAAACTTGTTTTTAATAAAATGTATTTTTCTATTAAAACTTGTTTTTAAATAAACTTGTTTCTCAAAAACTTGTTTTAATTAAACTTGTTTTAAATAAGCTTGTTGTAAATAAACTTGTTTTAATTAAAATTGTTTTAAATAAGCTTGTTTTTAAGGTTGTTTTGAGACTATTTTAAAAACAAACAAGTTTTACAAAACTTGTTTTATTTATTAAAACTTGTTTTGGTAAAAACAACATTTATTTTTATTAAAACATGTTTTTTCCATGTTTTGTTCATTTTACAGTTTCAAGTTTATTTTAACCTTCATTTTTCTTTTCCAGCCTTATACTCAACAACAACAACATCAATTACCAACACAAATAATAGCTCCACCTCACCTTTCTTCTTCTTCCTCCCCTTCTCCATTTCTCACAACTACACCCTCAACTGTGATCGTAGAACGTAACGAAGCTTTAAAATTGCAACAAGCAATAATTAAAAGTTCTTCCTCCAATCCTTCCTCTATTAATTCCTCAACATTTGTGTCAACTTATTCAAATACCCCAACAATTACTGTCGAGACATCCAGCCAGTTTGGACTTCAACCAATAACGGGTGAGAGACTATTAAATCATCTTTTTCCCACCACATTTTCTTGGGGGATAGAGGGCTGGAAAAAAGTGAGGGAAATGTTTGCCCTTTACATAATAAAACAAGTTTTAAAAAACTTGTGTTATTTAAATAAACTTTAAATAAAATAAACTTGTTTTTAAAAACATTTTAATAAACTTGTTTTAACTAAACATTAATAAACATAAACAAGTTTTAAACAAACTTGTTTTAATAAAAACAAGTTTTGTTTTAACAAGAATAAATAAACTTGTTTTCTGAATAAAACAAACTTATCTTAAAACATTCCTAAACATCCTAAAACAGGTTTCAATGTTGCGACAAACTTTTTTTATTAAAAATGTTTTTGTTAAAAATGTTTTAATCATTTTTATTAAAACAGATGAAAAACAACAACAACAAACATCCTCTTCTTCCTCAACTTTATCAATACCAAATTCTTCTACAACACCAAATGAAAGGGCACCTGATGAAAATAAAATACAAAAACAACAAAAAGAAGAGAGAGAAGAAGAAGATATTATTCAGCAGCAACAACAAATAAATAATCGAATTATTGGATTTAGTCCTTTAAATAATAATGGAGAATTGGGGCCAGATGAACAATTTCCTTCCGAAGAGGTTGAAAATTGATAAAAATTCTGAAAATAATTTTTTAAATTTAAAGTTAACACAATATTTGGATGGATTTGCTAAATTATTTAAACAAAAAAGAATAAAAATGGGGTATACACAAGCAGATGTTGGGCAACAATTAGGTGACAAACATTGTTTTTAATAAAAATAATTAAAACAAACAACAGGTACTTATTATGGGCAAGTTTTTTCTCAAACAACAATATGTCGGTTTGAAGCATTGTAAGTTTGGAAAACTTGTTTTTAGAGAGGGAATTAATTGTTTATTTGAGCATGTTTTTATGAATGTTGTTTTTAATAAAACTTGTTTTTAACAAAACTTGTTTTTAATAAACTTGTTTTTCGAAAGCATTTTAAATAAACTTGTTCAACAACAAAACTTGTTTCTAGAAAACATGTTTTATTCGAAGTTGTTTAAGAAAAACTTTGATTAAACTTGTTTTTAAACAAGCTTCCAAAAACATGTTTTAAATAAACTTGTTTCTCTAAAAAATAAACTTGTTCTTTTAAAATAAACTTGTTTTACCTATAATAAACATTTTAAGACAATTATCGGTCAAAAACATGTGTAAACTCCGCCCACTGCTACAAAACTGGTTGGAAAGAGCTTCTGATTTAGGACCGCCAGAATATGCAGGTGGAGGGTGTAGTTATGATTACGATTCCAAGCCTTCAACTTCTTTCGGTGTTGGTGGAGGAGGTGCAAATCCTCCTTCCTCCTCCTCAGGTTCTTCTTCCTCTTCTAGAAGGAGGAAGAAACGAACATCTATCGAAACACACATAAAAACACGGTTGGAACATTTCTTTCAACAGGTACAAAGACAGGTTGGGGTAAATAAATCTTCAATTTTTATTAAAAAAATAAATTTAATTTTTATTTAAAGGGAGCAAAGCCTAGTGCGCAAGAAATTTCGGACATTGCCTCTCAAATGAATTTAGAGAAAGAGGTTGTTCGTGTTTGGTTTTGTAATAGGCGACAGAAAGAGAAGAGAATGACTCCACAACAACAAGTAAAAACAAATAAAATCAGAAAAACATGTTTTTTTTGTTTTTATAGATGTTTGATGACGATTCAGAATCTAGCAGCAACAACAATCCAATTACAACAACATTACCTTTAAACAATCAAAACATTGATATAAACAATCCAAACAATTATTTACAACATTATATGATTCAACAACAACAAAGTTTTAACAGCAACACTCAACAACAACAAATACTTGTTTTAGAAGCAGAAGATGAAAACAACATTAATTTAAGAAAGAATGAAACAAACACAACAACAAACACAACAAATTGTTTGCCTTCTCAACAAACATTTGAAAACTTACAACAACAAACATCAAATAACAACTTTTTCTTTTAGAAAAATAAACTTGTTTTTCTTTAAGTTTCCAACTTGTTTTTCTTAAAGTTTATTTTCCAACTTGTTTTATTTCAACTTGTTTTCCTCTTTTTCTCTACTTATTTTATTATACATACTTTACCGGTTTATATTTCTATACTCATGCATATTATTTAATATATTCCAATTAAAACGAGAATATTCGCAATAAGTTTTATTAAAAATGTTTTATTGTTTTGTAAATAATTGCTTGTTTATTTCAACATGTTTCTTAAATTGTTTATATAATTAAAAACGAGCTTTTCTTTGAATAAAATAAAGTTTTAGCGCAAAAACATTTTTATTTATTGTTTAAGTTATACAGCTGTTTTACTATTAATAATTTTATCTTCATCTTAAATCTCTTTTATACTAACAAAAATATTATAGGGTATGTATTTATTTTATTTAGAAAATAGAGGGGTCTTTTTCCAAAAAATACTTTTTTTTTGTTAAAAATTTGGAAAAAAATTATTTTTTTTTATTTTATTAAGAAAAATAAAACATTTTCCTTCAATAAAATATAAACTGCTACAGTATATCAATAAACAGAGGGAAGGATAAATTTTTCTTGACAGAAAATTTATAAAAAAAAATCAAAAATAAATTTTTTAATAAATTTTTTATTTTCTTATTAATTAATTTAAAAATCAATTATCTTAAAAAATTCAAATTTTTAAGAAAAATTTTTTTTTAATTTAAAATTAAAAATAAATCATCAAACAAAATTTTTTTTAATTATTTTTAATTTAATTTTAAATAATAAGTTTATATATTTTCGTGGTTATTATTTATTATTAATAACCACTTGCTGCCAAAATTTTTTTTATTTTTCTCTTTTTATCTCCCCGCGTGATCGGATTAATAACACACATTATTTAGTTGGGGAAAGTGTGTTAGAGTATTTCTCTCTCTTTGTTTTCCTCTCAAAAATTAAAAAAAGATTAAAAATATATTTGTGGCTATGAGAAGAATTGAAAAAAAGATTTTCTTTTTATTGTTTCAAATATTTGAAGAGAAGGTCAAGAAAAGGAAAGAAAATGGAGGAAAAAATTTTTTTAGAAAAACGGTCAAGAGGCGATTTACTGTTAAAAACATGAAAGAATTTCTATCTTCTGTAACGTCCTTGAAGGGATTGGAAAAAAATTTTTTTAAACGAAATGGGATATTTCAAAAAAATTTTTTTATGAAAAAAATGAATCCAAATTATTTTTAAAAATTTTAATTTGATTAAAAAACTAAAAAAGAATAAATTTTTTTGTATTTTTGCAAAATTATTTTTTTTTAAATTTATTTTTCAGACAAAAAAATAAGGAGGAAGTTTAAAAATAAATTTAAATTTCACAAAAAATATTTAAAAAAGAAGTAATTGGAATTTTTAATAATTTAAAGACAATAATAATTTCTTTTTAATTTTTTTCCTTTTGAATCTTCCAATTACACGAAAAAAAAATTTTAAATGAAAATTAAATATTTTTTAATAGTCAAACATCAAAATAATTTTTTAAAAAATAAAAAAAATTTTTTTCAAAAAAAAAATAAATGTTCCCTTTACACTAGGGTATAGGCTGTAAGGAACATGTTCTCCCTTTTTTAGTTTATCCTCAACAAAAAAAAATTTTTTTTTAATTTTTAAAATTTATTTTAAATAATCTCCACCTTTTTCAATACAAAAAAATAATTTCCTTACTTCTCCCCCTAACTTTTTCAGAATTTATTTAAAATAATCTCCTCCTTTTTCAATACAAAAAATAATTCCCTCCCCTCATTCTTCAAGAATGCCCAACATTTTCAAAAGAAGCATAACGAATAGGTTCTTGTCCACTTGTAGCATTCTCCCTCTTCTCTAATTGTTCCAATTCCCATTTACGGTGTTGCAAAAATGAAAAACGTTTTTGTAAATTTTTTTCTCGAATTTCTTGTTCTTTTAACTAAAAAAATTGAAAAAAATTTAAATTCAGAAATTTTTAAAAAAAATTTTTTTGGGATATTTTGTCCATTTTTGAAAAATAATTTTTTTAAAAATGGAAACATTTATATTATTTTTCGCTTTTAAAACTTAAAAAAAATTTTTTTATTTTGAAAAATTTATTTACAAAAAAAATTTTTTTCGAAACTTTAACACAAAACTTTAAATTACCAAAATTAATTTTCCCATAAATTAATTATTTTCTCACACCTTTTAAAACAAAAAAAAGAATTTAATACGTAACAGAAAATCCCTTCTTTTATATAATTAGCATAAACCGAAACAATTTTTTCAAGTAATTAAAGAGGAAAAAAGGGCCTTTTCTTTTTTAAGAAAAATTGAGTAATTACCTATGAGAAAATTAATTTAAAAAATTAAAAAATATTTCAGTCAAAACCTCCATATAAAATACCCCTCAAAATTAAATACACACCTCTATTTAAGAGACGATTTTTTAAATTTTGGATGTCAGCTATGGGTAGGGGGAGGGACTGCTAAAGCGATGCCTCCTATTTAAGGGATAACTTATTACAAGATATAAAATTTCCCCTAAGAGGTAGGTGAGGTCTTACTGTATTTCTACCTTTAAATTTTCAAAAAAAAATTTTTTTGAATTTTCAAAAAAATTTTTTTCAGAATTTTCAAGACAAAATATCCCAACATTTTCACTCAAACAAAAAATTCCCCCACCTCCGCAGTCAACGAATTAATTCTTTTAACAATCGCCTTTTGTTCGTTCTGTTCCAACCTTTTAAACGTTTTTAATTCCAAAAGTGCAGTTTCTCGTTGTTTAGCCAATTCTTGAAGTTTGGCTGTTAAAGATGACTCGATACTCTTTAAAAATAAATTTTAAATAATTTTCTTTCTCCAATGCCTTACCATATATCCCCCAAGCTTTAAACGAACTTTCTTTTCCAATTTTTGCATTTTTGTTGCTTGTGAAGTCATCCAACCAAAAAGAACCTGGAAAAAATTAAAAGGAATTTTTCTTCTCTCGTTTTTTAAAATTTTTAAATTGGATGGATATCCAAAAAAAATTTTTTTTGGAATTTAAGAAAGAGAGTGAGAGAGATTTTTTTGCTAAGAATTAAAATTAAAGAATTAAATTTGCAAAAAGTCGATAGCTATTTGTAGATTAAAAAAAAAGAAAAAAAATTAGTTGAAAGATCTTGAAGCTACATAAATCAAAAATAATCCCTCCTCTAAAAATGAACAAACTTTATAATTTTTTTTTAATATTTCTTTTAAATCCCGAAAATAAATATTTATTAATTACTCTGTGATATTTATTTACTTTTCTTAATTTTTCTTTTTTAATTTCCCGCACTTTTACTTCCTTTTTAATTTTATTTAATAAATACACTCAAAATAGGGGTAAAAACAAATTGGTGGTGCTGGTGGTGGCTATTTGACTCTTCCCCCCCCCCCTCTTTTCTTATTTCTTTTCCTTCAACTTTTTGAGTGACTAAAGAAAGTCTCAAAAATCTCTTTTGGGAATATATTCTTCTTCCCCCTTCAATTTATTTTTAAAAGCCACCCCCAATATTTTTAAATATGACCACACCCCCCCCCCCCAATAAAAAAATTATTTAAAGGAAGGCGTTGAAAGAAGCCTTCTCTTTCATTTATTTTCCAGGCTAATAAACCCAATTATAATTTTACTTAATTTTAAGGCATTTCTTTTTTTGTCCTTTTAAATAAGGATAAAAGAGAAGCAAATAGGGAATTGGTGGGTAGAAGGAAAGGGTTTTTAAAGTCAACTGCCAAAAATGCATTAGAAAAAAAAAAGACAAATAATAATGAGAGAGAAGGGGGGATTGGACTAATAAAAATAAAAAATATTTTTGTTTGAAAATAAAATACAAAAAAAAATAAAAAATAGCTTTGATGACAGATAATAACCGATCATGAAGAAGAGAGATAAAAAGTTTAGAAAAATTAACTAAAGAAATTTTTCATTCAATTTCTTGAATTTTAAAGGAAAAAAGCTAAATCTATGTCCTAACTGAAACCCGAAAAAGCCCAGATATTCCAAAAAAAATTTGGTTCGGATATCTGGAGAATTCTCAGATCCGTAAACCACAGTATAGATTTTAGAAAACTAAAAATATTTTCAAAATTATTCTAGATCTTCCAAGGGAAAATAATTTTAGACTACTCTATAGATCACTTCATAAATAATTTACAAAACCAAAAAAAAGTTCCCACACACCCCCTCCAGAGAAAAATAAATTTTTAAAGACTATTCTTGTTCTCTCAATAAATAATTTTCAAACTCCCCAAAAATTCCCTTTAAAAAATATTTTTTAATTAAAAAAATTCTTTTTTTTTCACCTTAAACCGTTCAGACAAAACTTCCAATTGATCTCTTTTTGACAAATTAGAAAGTCTAGTAAATCTATTTTGAAATTTGACCAATTCACCAAAACAATTAGCAACAACTTGCCACATTTGACTATCCAATTTTAATTCAATATCTTCTGCTTCCGCCATTTTAGTTGCTTCAATATCAATCATTTTTTTGGCTAATTCCATTGCTTCTTTTGAATAAATTTGTTTTGGAGGAGGTTCTTTACCTTCTACATCCCATTCCATTAATGAATACATTTCTGATTTTATTAGATCATCCGCCTGGAAAAATTTAAAAAAATATACAGCAAAATCTTGTTGATTATGGACCCCCTTTAGGGGTAGAAAATTTGTAAAATTTGTTCCTTAAATTGAGGGTATTGTTTAAACAGCATCCAGCGACTTAAGAACATTAAAATATCCAGGTTTCCGTTACCAATATTGGGTGTATATTAAAAAATAAGAGTGGAATGTATCCAAGTTTAAAATATTCCAGGACACCGTTTAAAACTAAAATCTGGTCAAGTTTGGCACGATTCAAAGTCCCTCGTCAAGCTACGTTAAATCAGGGATGGTTCTGGTTTGAGAAAAAAGTCAGATTGCGGCTTCAAACTTTTATTCTCGGGCTTTCAGGACAAAAGATATCCAGGTTTCCGTTACCCTATCCATCCCTAGTCATAACAAAATTGACTTGGTATGACAAAAAAGACATTTTATTATGAATTTTCGAAAGTTAATTCTGCTTTTTCTGCTCCTGAAAAAAATTTTTCCGACCTTTAAATTTTATTTATTTTTGTAAAAAGGAAGGATTTTCCATTTAAAATTATGACCATTCAAAAACAATGAAAAAAGACAAAATTCTATACAGGTTAAAAATAGTAAAACAATTGGCGCAAAAAAAGTAATAAATTCGCTAGAAATAAAAATAAAAGAATTCTCCTAAATATCCAGAATTGTTAGAAAATAAGAAGAAAAAAGAAACAAAAATCAGACAAACATAAATTTTAGATTTTTAATAAAAAAAATCATTCAGATCTAACTAATAAATACTCCAACATTATTTTTTCAATAAAACCCCTCCTTTTTATTTCCAAACTAAAATTTCTGCAAAAAATTTTAAAAAAAAATTCTTAAATAATTGTGAACAAAAAAACATCCAAAAAGAAGACAAATCTCTACTTTCTCTCTAATTTCCAAAAAAAAATTTTTTTTTCTGAATTCAATATTTTCTCTTTTCTTTTCAATTGTTTTTACTAAATAAATTGAGTACTCCCAGAAAAAAAATAATTTTTTTTTTAAAAACTAGATGCCATTAAATATAAAAAAAATTAAAATGCCATCATTATTATATAATAGATATATGTCAACACAATTTTAGTCAATTAAAAATAAATTTAAAAAATAAAAATAGAGGCAGATGTGTGCTTTTGTTAATATTCTCCCCTCCCCTTCCCCTTCCTAATTTTTAAAGAATTGTTTAAAAATCTAAAAATGTGTTTAGTGTGCCTTTCTTCAAAAATAATAAAAAAAATATCCAAAAAAGAAGACAAATCCACTCTATTGAAAAAAAGAGAAAAATCATTTTTTCCCCTAGTTTTGTTAATTTGAATAGAAAAATGGCAAAGAAAAACGTTTAAAAATAATAAAGATTAAACTGTCAAAAAAAATAAAAGAAAAACACACCAACTAATCTTCCCTTCCTCCCCTCTCTTCACTTTTCTTTTTTTAAAAAATATAAATTATATAAAGAATATATCCATGATTTTTTAGAAGTAAAGAAAAGTGCCAAGTGCGCAACAAATGATGGATTGATGGGTGAAAAAAAAGAGAGAAAAAGAAAAAAGATTTGGAAAAATCTACAAGTGTTAAAAATAAATAAAAAAAGAAGGGATAAGAAGAAATTATGAAAAAAAGAGCATAATGAAAAAATATTGAAAAGGTATAACATAGAAAATTTGATTAAAGTTAAGCTCGCTTATCGGATCAACCCACTGGATTCTAATTTTACCCAAAAATATAAAATAAAAATTAAAGTAGTAGACTAAAACAAAATTGACTGGGTAAATTATAACTAGACTAGTCCGGGGTATTTAACCAGATAAAACGCCTTAAGAAAATTTAGTGTTACATATAATCAAAGTTTGACACGACCTCTAATATTTACATATCTAATTTTCATTGTTTTTGAATAGTCAAATGTTAAGACTGACCCAGAATTTATTTAATTTAATTAAAAAAATTTTTAATTTAAAAAATAAAAAAAAGACGTTTAGAAAACTAAGGACAGGCCAAGAAAACCGACCGAGTTTAATCGATAGAAAACCCCTTAATCGAGAATTTGATCAGTCCAATTTTTATAATTAAACTAATTAGAACCAGATAAACCCCCTAAAATCTCCCCATAATTTTTATTAAAAAATAATATTTTTTAAACCTTATGTAAATCTGTTCCACCTGCCCCACGCTTCTTATATTCAATATTTAATTTTGATGGAAGAGGTAATTGTCGTTGAAAGGCTTTTGTTCGTTTTTCCAATTCGAGTGCTTTCTTCTTTTCGGCTATTGCTTGACGACGCTTTTCAAGTTCAGCGGCATCTTCAATCCATTCCTAAGGAAAAAATTTTTCTTATAAAAATTTCTAAGAAATTAACAATCCTATAGGTATTGAAAAATTATTTAAAAATAAAATCAGCGAAAAGATACATAAATAGGCAGTGTCTTTAAGGGCTCAAAAAACTGTCCAAAATCACAACATTCACGGAACCGTTTGATTTTTTGGAATCGAAAAACATTGTTACAGTGGTGGCCATAAGTATTGCAACACCATTGTTTCATTCTTTTGTCGCAAGGTAACTTTTTTTAAAAACACTTATTTAAAGTAATTTTATCTTATTCTGATCTATTTTTTATGCGCTTTAATATAAAAAATAAATCAATCCAATATCATTTAAATTTTTTTAGATATTGGCCTTTTAACCAATATGCCTCTAATTTTTGGTGGACAAAAGTATTGCAACACTTTTTTGGAAAAAAATATAAAATCAATTCTTCGGTAAAAAATTTTATAAAAATTTTTATAAGCATTTCCATTGATACTAAGTAGAAAATTAAAAAGAACGAAGTCCGTAACTTATTTCTTCATCGAGATCTGAAATCTCAAAAATCAACGGAAAACCGGGGTACAGTACTTTAAAAAATATTTTAGATCCCCAGGGCTTAAATAAAATTTTTCTTTTAGGCTCATTTGAAAGCCCTTGAAATTTGCTACAAAATACCCCTTGGCCTCATATGTCTAATAAAATTTGTTTAGGATATATGGCGCAATAAGTTCACAACGTTGTCAGAATCACTCAAAATACCCCATAAAATCCTCATTTTTAATTTTTTAGAAATTCGACGCGCCATAGATCCTAAACCATTTTTTTTAGACATATGAGGCCAAGGGGTATTTTGTAGCAAATTTCAAGGGCTTTCAAATGAGCCTAAAAGAAAAATTTTATTTAAGCCCTGGGGATCTAAAATATTTTTTAAAGTACTGTACCCCGGTTTTCCGTTGATTTTTGAGATTTCAGATCTCGATGAAGAAATAAGTTACGGACTTCGTTCTTTTTAATTTTCTACTTAGTATCAATGGAAATGCTTATAAAAATTTTTATAAAATTTTTTACCGAAGAATTGATTTTATATTTTTTTCCAAAAAAGTGTTGCAATACTTTTGTCCACCAAAAATTAGAGGCATATTGGTTAAAAGGCCAATATCTAAAAAAATTTAAATGATATTGGATTGATTTATTTTTTATATTAAAGCGCATAAAAAATAGATCAGAATAAGATAAAATTACTTTAAATAAGTGTTTTTAAAAAAAGTTACCTTGCGACAAAAGAATGAAACAATGGTGTTGCAATACTTATGGCCACCACTGTAATAAGTCTAAAAACGATTTTAGAAATATCCTCAAAAAAATTAAGGAAAAATCAACAAGATTTTTAAGGATCACAGAAAATGAGACCCACAAAAAATATTGCAAGTCTCCCTCACCATAATTTATTTTTTGTTGAACCAAAAACATGATTTTAATAAATCTTCAATACCTATAGAATTGCTAACTCTCCCAACTTTATTAGACTTTAAAAAAACCTCTCTCAATCCACCCTCTCCACCAAAATCATCATCTTCATCCCCAACTTCAGTCAATTCAAAATCATTTTTAGGTTTAGGTAATTGATAGAATTGTTGTTGTAATTCTTCTTTAGAAGGTCTAGTTTCATCAGAAATTGGGTTTATATTTAATTGGTCTCTAAATGGTGTATTCATTTCTATTGTTGTTGTAGAAGCGCCGCCAGGTGTTGAAGCAGCTAATGTTCGTTGAGAACCAGGAGTTTCTTAAAAATAGGAGGGATATCAAAAGTACGAGTTAAAAATTAAAAAAAACTAACGTCCAACCCCAACATTCTTTGGAGTTGCTGCCATTGCAGAAAGAACAGTGTTTGGTGTAGAAATTGGTTGACGTTGACTTCCCGGAGCGCTAAAGTCGTGATTATGAAGAGGAGTGTTGAGACCTCCTTTAAGTGGTGTTTCTACGTTTATAAGAGCTAATAGATCATCGGCTGCCTAAAAAGAGAATTAAAAAGAAATTTTGGGAAATTCAGCGGCTTTATAGCAAATTTTCTCTTGTTTTACCATTGCCAAACAAACAACCAAGGATTAATTTTGGGTAGTTGCCTTATTAGAATAACTGATATGCCTCCAACTTTATGGTATAGGACCGTTTCCCTGAAGCTTTTCAACCCCGAGCCTCTTGATTGATCTAATTGCCAGAAACCAAGAGAAAATAGGTGAAAATGAAAAATTAGGCTACTAAAGTTCCGAATTCTCGAATTCGTTTTTCAAAAAAAATATTTTTAATAAAAAAAATACCCTAGCAACAGTATCAACATCACCAACAGCAGCTCTTTGTGTCCTAGCCGAAAATGCGTTCATTCTTGCAGATTCGTTATAATCATGCAGAAGAGTACTTTAAAAATAATTTTTAATATTAAAAAAAATAATTTTCAAAAAAACCTAGAAGGATTATCATCAACTAATTCTCTAACAGAATCAGATACATGTCCAATTTTTATTATATCTTCCAATTCTTTATCAGAAATTTGTGGTTCTGGTAAAATGAGTTTGCTTCGCTTCTTTTCATGTTTTTCACCAAATATGGATTCGGGCAAGTCTTCGTTTCTAGAAAAGGAAAATATTAACTTTAGGCTAAAAATTTTAAAAAAATATATTAAAACCGAATAACCCTATTTTCTTTTGCCTTACCGGATGTAAAAGCAAAACTAAAGAGACATTTTATCCCATAAGGAAAATTGAAAAAAAAGTCAGCAAAAATTTTGCATTAATTATCTTTAAGATTTAAATATAAAATAACAAACTTTCTTTTCTTCAGCTTATCCTTGTCCGCCTTCCTATCATCCCTTTCCTGCCAATCTCGTCTCTTCTCTTCAACCATCGTTTTTTGTGCCTTATCAAATTTATCTTCACTTGGATCATGAAACCCTGATGGGACTTGTTTTTCAAAGGGTATTTCATTATTATAATCCATTAGACGATGCTTCTTCATTTTATAAGCCCAACCAGATCCAATAATTATTCCAGCGGCTCGAAGTTCCCTTCGTTTTTGCAGAGAAGCAAGTCTTCGAGCCTCTCCTAATTGCTTTTCACGAGCTTTGCGCTTTGCTTTCTTTCCTTGTGTGTTGGCTAGACGAGCTCGTGCTTCTGATAACATTTCCAATTCTGAAAAATTAAATGAAAGTTGGTGTTAAAAAAGAAGAAAATTTCGGCGGGCAGACCCTGCCTTAAAAACGAATTTCCTGGTATAAACAAAAAGTATTGAGGTATTGTGGAAAGGGGGCACAAGTTAGAAAATCAGAACTTAAAATCAGATCCAAATAAATGTCCGGAAATTTAGATAAGGAGACATTTAGAAAAATAACAAAATAAAACCAAAATTCATTACCATCTTCATCCATATCAATAGGATCAGGCCTAGCCGGCTTAGTTTCTGGTGTAGGATCGACATCACCAGGCTTTAACTTCTTGGCCTCTTTTAATGAATCCTCCTCTTCAATACCTTCAGCACGACGTTGGGCTTCGTCAAGAAGATATTCATATCTTTAAAAAAATAAAAATACCTTAAATACAAAAGAAACCTTTCTAAACACTGTGCAGCAGTTCTTCCAACAATTGGAGCAATTGTACGCCATTGAGTAGGCATAATTTTGGCCAAATGGAGAAGTTTTTCGTCCTCTTCTCTAGACCATTCCGTCTTTTTAATTCGTGGATCAAGCCATTCATACCACCTAGCTTTGCACTGTTTTGCGGATTTTCGATGAAGCAAAGAGGCAATTCGGCTCCATTGATTTTTGCCATATTTCATAATAGCCGCTTTAAGAATTTCATCCTAAAAATATTTTTTATAGATAATTCAAAAAGATTTTCAAAATAACCTCAGTATTCTTCCAAACACCACCTTTGATTATAACGCGAACCATTTCTTAATTAAGCATATGATCAAAAAAAAATCTGAAAAAATGAGAATAACCAATTATAGATAAAATCGAGCATCAAAACTCTAACAATCAGCTAAATAAAAAATAATAAACTAAATATTTTAATAAACAATAAATTTTCAAAATAGGCAGTCAATTTTAAAATCGAAGATATAGACAATAAAAAAAGCTCTCCATTAGATGAAAAAATATTTTGAAATCATAAATCAAGAATTTAAAAATCAATATTCTTCAGTATCGTCATCAGGCCTTCCCCTCTTCTTTGGTAGACCCATACATGCTCTAACAATTGGAGGAGGTCCGGGTCTAGGTTGATGTACTTCTTTCTTTCTTGTTCCCTCAACTTGCTAAAAATTTTTAATGGATGAAAAATAAGAAAATTTATTGGAAAAAAATTTTAAACTATTTTTTAAAAATTTTTACGGCGACAAGTTAACAGATACCCCAAGTTTCGGTTAACCAACGAATTAATCCATTTTAGCTAAACCGGGAAAATATCCTTTTTAGGACCGATTGCCATCAACCCAAATTTAAATTAGAATCTTAAAAATTTTACCTCAGCAGCCGCAGCCAAATCCTTTGCAGAAATAATATAGTTTCTGGAATTAAATTCGGCAGCCTCCCTAGCAGCTTGGCTATACGGAAAATCTTCAAACGGTGTATTTCCAACACTTATGCCCAACAATCCACTGTGATTGAAGACTCCTCCTCCACTATCACCACGATTAGTTTTGATTGTTCCCATCAAAAAAGTTGCATGCTTTTTTCCGTCTAAATAATTAAAGAATAAATTTAATTAATGTAGAACTAATTCGAACCCCAATATCCTTCTAATGAATTTATAATTCCTTCTTGCGGAGCAAGTCTCCCATCATCTGTTGCACGACCATATAAAATAATACGTTCACCAGGATAAAAAACATCAAAAATATGAGGGCCATCGCCTTTAACATCTTCATTAGATTTGAATAATATAAAGTCCCATAAAGTATTTTTAAATTTGCACGTTGCTTTAAAAGCATTGTCATCATTGGAAAATATTTCAACAACATTCCCTTCTTTAAAATCTTTATGCAAGTCATGGTAAAAAGTTGCAAAATATCTTTTGTTGATGCGTGTGACGCAAGTTTTTACTTCTTTTTTAGGTTCATTTTCTTTATTGGAGCTAACTTCTTTCTTCAGGTAAAAGCAAAATTCGCTAACTGAATCAATGAGAGGAAGCTCTCCTAATTATTTTAAAAATCATTTAAAAAAAAAAAGTTTAAAAAATTAAAAAAGAAAATAAACTAAAAATATACGTTGAACATGCAACCAAGGAGAGGGTGAACGCTCAACTGGGTCTAAAATAATAAAATTACAAAAAAAATTTAATAATTAAAATTATGTCCATGCGATGAACACTAGTAATTTATAAAGAATTGACCAAATAAAGCCGAAAAATTAAACTTTTCATGATTATAAAAAGGGAAATATTTTAAAGATGTTATTAAACAAAGATGAAAATAGGGAATCTGTAAATCCAAAAAAAATATTTGAAGATCCCCAAAAGGTTACCAAAAATTATATAGGCCTAAACAAAGTGAACGTAACAGCAGGTACCCAAAAGAAAGGGATTTACCCACAACTCCCAAAAACAAAGTAAATTAAAAGTCGAAAGTACAAACCTTTATAAATAACATTTAAAGTTTTCTTTTCATCTTCTTCAGTTAAATGAAATTTCTTTTCGGCATCCAAACTATAAAAAATAATAATATAATCAATTCTTTAAAGTTCGACCCTATCCCAAAAGAAGGGTCAAATCGTTTTTTTCCTTACTTTTATTTTCTTTATAAAAATGGTCAATTTTCCTTAAAGTTGATGTCTGTTGATGTTTGCCTTAAGGGGAAGAATGGAGAAGGACAGACAATGACAGAATAACACGGACGGACAGACAAAATACGGACGAACACGGACAGCTCGGACAGACAAAATACGGACGAACACGGACAGCTCGGACAGACAAAATACGGACGAACACGGACAGCTCGGACAGACAAAATACGGACGAACACGGACAGCTCGGACAGACAAAATACGGACGAACACGGACAGCTCGGACAGACAAAATACGGACGAACACGGACAGCTCGGACAGACAAAATACGGACGAACACGGACAGCTCGGACAGACAAAATACGGACGAACACTGACAGCTAGGACGGACAAAATACGGACGGACTTTGACAGACAAAACACGGACGGACTCGGACAAACAAAACAACGGACGGACACGGACAGACAAGTCGGACGAACATCGACGGACACGGAAATATATCTGTATTTTCTGTCCGAGTCTGTCCGTGTTCGTCAGTGTTTTGTCCGTCCAAGTCTGTCAGTGTTTTGTTCTGTCCGTCCGTTAGTCTGTCATTGTCTGTCCTTCTACATTCTTCCTAAAGACAAACATCAACATACATCAACTTTAAGGAAAATTGACCATTTTTATAAAGAAAATAAAAGTAAGGAAAAAAACGATTCGACCGTTCTTTTGGGATAGAGCCTAAAGTTCTAATAACATACTAAATAGTTGTAATTTCGGGACGGGCACTAGGATCTTTAATTTCTAATCCAGAAGCACCAGGGCACACTGACTGCAAGTAATCAAGCATTAACGGTTCGGTCTCGGGAAGAGCAACTTTCTTTATAACATTATCAGCACAGCATAACATCAACTAGGGATTTGGAACTGCTTTAATCGATTTTTAATAAAAATTACATAACGCATAGCCATTTATAAGACAATGAATGAAGTTCAAACAAAAAGCAAAAAGTAATCCAAAGTCAAATTGAAAGCCAAATTAACGACCAAAATCCAAAATTCAGATTAAAAAAATTTTTAATGAAAATGGATAAAATAAAAATTGTTTATTTCAACAATTAAGTTTAGAGATGAATTTTACAAATACAAAACTTTATTTGAAACAAAACAAAAAAATTAATAAGCAAAAATTAACAAGAAAATAAACATTTTAATTCACTTCCCTTTAGGTTTACTTTGTTCTGTTCGTAGCGATTGTACCGGCCGATAAACAAATTAACAAATGACGACTCGCCAGTAGAAGCAGTTGGACATTTGGCCCACAAGAAAAAATCAGGACATTCCGTCCAAGGATTTTAAGAACAATATTTTTACCCAAGAAAATACTTGCAGCAAATACAACACAGAAACATTATATATAGTTGTCTTATACAATATTTTTCTACTATTTATACCCTTCATACTCAATTTCAATCCTTCATCGCCTCCCTTATTTCTTCTTCCGTTGGCATCTGAAAATTGAAAAATATATATAGTAGCAATTTAAGATTTGACTCCGAACATTCAGAGGTGATTTTTGATGTCGAGGACGTTAGTCATTGCTTCATGCAATGAGCAGCGCAAGGCAACAGGCAAGGACTTTGTTGTCTATGCGGGGATGGTTGTCCTTCGGGACACCATTCCTGCAATTAGACAACAAAGTTCCTAGTCTGTTGCCGGGGGAGCCACACCGTATTTAATTGACAAAAGCTATAGGATGTTATTAGATTTTTATAAGAATGTTTCCAATCTTTTTAAAAATGTCTTTTCTCACCCCCCAGTTAATAACCTAAATTATCAAACTTTTTTAGATTCAAATAAATTGGTCAAAGCCTATTTTATTAATTCTCGTTCAATCTGTAATAAACGTGATGAGCTATCTACTCTTCTTTTGTCTTCTCATATTGATATTTTACTCATAGCCGAAACTTGGCTTCGGGATGATGAACAAATTTCATTTGACCCCTTAATAAATTCCAGGTTTACTTCCTTTACTAGTAGTAGGAAAAATAGAATAGGTGGAGGTACTGCTATGTTAATTTCTAATGAACTTAAACCTAGGTTAGTTTTTTCTGATTCCATCGCAGGTTGCGAATTATTGCTAGTTAAAATTTCCTCCTTTAATATTTTCTGCATCTATCGCCCACCAAATACTGGAATATCTAATACCAAGCTACTCTTGAAATCTATAACCGAAAAAATAGATAAAACTTGTATTATTTGTGGCGACTTTAATTTTTCTAATAAGGATATAACTTGGACTAATTCAATCCCTTCATCTAGATCTACAATTGGTGATATATTTGTTACTTTTTTAAATAAAAACTGCCTTAAATTACACACCCTCTCTCCTACTAGAGGCCATTCTTGGCTCGATCTCGTAATGTCTAATTCTAAGGACTGTATTTCTAATTGCCAAACATTAGATTCCATTCTTTCTTCTGACCATGCTGCTATATCTTTTAATCTTTGTATTAATAAGCCTCGAATTAAGCAACCTAAGATTTTTATTAGAAAGTATGACAAACAAAATTTAAGAATGTTAAATATTTATTTGTCCTCTATATTACAATCTACTTCTATTAGCAATTATGCAATAGAGGACAAATACAATTCACTATCCTCCATCCTTATAACTGCTAGAGATCAATTTTTACCCGGTACATATATTTCTAAAGTTATTCCCAAATATCCTGCTCATCTTAAGGCTTCTATTAAAGAAAAGGCTTGTCTCTGGAAAATGATTTCAAAAGGAAGGAAAGAATTAATTCCACGTTATAATAGTCTCCATTTACATGTAAAAATCCAAATACGAAAATTTTATTCAAAACTCGAAAAAAATTATATTGAAAAAGATCCACTCAATATTTTTAAATATATCAATAGGCATTCTAAAAATAATAATACCATTCCATCGTTATTGGTAAATGATGATTATATTCACGAAGACAAACTCAAATGCGAAATTTTTGCCAAATCATTCTTTTTAGATTCTAATACTGATTTTATTACTCCTGAACTAGCTAATATTAATTCTAAATTCATTGATGATATTGAAATCGATTCCAGTAAATTGCTAAAAATGTTAAATTCCCTTCCAAACAAAGAAGGCTTATCGCCGGATCTTATATCCTACAGATTCTTAAAGAATTGTTCAGTTCCTATAGTTTCTCATGTATCTGAAATTTTCAGAATCTCTCTTGACTCTGCTATACTTCCACGTATCTGGAAGGAATCTATAATAATTCCACTTTTTAAAAAGGGGAATAAGGAACTCGTCTCCAACTATCGTCCAATTTCTATTACTTGCTCATTATGCAGGGTAATGGAAAGATTTATCTTTAATGGAATCCTTGAATTTCTCTTAGAAAATAAACTTATATCACCTCACCAATTTGGATTTCTCCCAAAGAGATCTACTACTACACAACTGATCACCACTTTAGAGGATTGGTTTGACGGAATATTCTCTAATAAAAACATAGATTGCATCTATCTTGACCTTAGGAAAGCATTCGATTCTATTCCTCATGATTTACTCTTATATAAACTCTATAAAATAGGCGTTAGAGGTAAAATATACAATTGGATTAAAGAATTTCTATCAGATAGAAAATATCGTGTAAAAATTAACGATAGTTTTTCATCTTATTATAATGCTTCTCTAGGTGTACCACAAGGCTCTGTCCTTGGACCTTTATTATTTATCATTTATATAAACGATCTTCCAGATATTATTCCAAAAGGCATATCTGTTAAATTATTTGCTGATGATATTAAGCTTTATTTAATTCATGATTCATTAAATCAATGTAATACTTTAACTGAATCTATCAATAATATTGCATTTTGGTGTACCCAATGGGGTATTAATATTTCCTCTGATAAATCCTATGTTCTCTATCTTGGTAAAAATAACCAAATGCACAAATATAAAATTGGAGATAATATTATTATGGGTTTAAATTCTATAAGAGATTTAGGAATTATAATTGATAATAAATTATCCTTTCAAAAACATTTCGACACAATTGTTCGAAATGCTTATTACCGTATGAAAATTCTATTTAAAACTATTAGATCTAGGAGCATTAGAACTTGGACATTAGTCTATAAATCTTATATCAGACCCATACTTGAATATGCACCCGAAATTTGGAACCCTCATTTTAAAAAAGATATAAAACAAATTGAAAAATGCCAAAAATTCTTTACATCTATTGCTCTCAAAAAATGTATGTTACCTAAAATTCCTTATCCTGAAAGACTTAAACTTTTTGGATTGCAATCTCTTAGTACTCGCAGAAAAATTTATGACCTCGTAACTGCATTTAAAATTATTAAAGGGTTTACCCATTTAGATCCTACTCACCTATACCGATTTTCTACACATCCATCTCATAAACAATTTAATAGACTTATGTTTAAATGCAGATCCTCAAAAAACGCTCATTCCTTTGTTAATAGAAGCTCTTCACTATGGAATACCCTTGATAAAGTTACATTAAACTCCCACTCAATATTGTCCTTTAAACATAGAATTACTCAGCTATTTATAAACGAAATATAAAAAAAATAGACTAAATATAAAAATAAAAAAAATGGTAATTTCCCCAAAAATCATTTACATAAAAATTTCTACATAAAAATCTAATAACTTAAATTAAATTATATGCTTACTACACTATCTATACATGTGTGGCTTCCCCAATACTCAATATAGTTAATTTTTTATACTAAAATCTAACTGTCAAATAATTAGAAAAAAATTATTACTTTTTTAGAAATTATTATATTTTACGGTATAATTTCGGAAAACGAACAGATCCGAAATAGGACAAATTATATGTCATTCGAAAGGGCTCGTCGAGTTGAGTCGAATGGTGAAAAAATTTTCGTGCGGACTCATACAGGGGCTGAGATATAGGCCCCTGAAAATCGAAAAACCATAGGGGGGACCAAGCACTTTTTTGAGGTGAAAAATTCGAATATGCAAATTATAGCTCATTCGAAAGAGCTCATCGAGCTGAGTCGAATGACACCAAAATCAACGAAATCTGACTTGATTTGACAAAGTTATGATCGTTTGTTTTAGCTCCTTACCTTTGGTATCCGTCGAGGTTTTTCCTGCTACGGAGGAAGCCAGATAACCCATTACAGCGATAATTGGAATAGGATTAAGTTACGAGCCCAGAACCCATCGCCCGTAGACTCCCCGCGAGGCGCGTGCCGCAAAACCCCGCGCGAAGCGCGGGGTTTTGCACAAGCGCCTCGCCTACGCCCCATAGGTTTACGTTGACCATTTTGAGCCTCTATCTCGGCTCAGAATCAAGATTTCGAGTTGATTTTGGTGTCATTCGACTCAGCTCGACGAGCTCTTTCGAATGAGGTATAATTTGCATTTTCGAATTTTTCACCCCAAAAAAGTGCTTGGTCCCCCCTATGGTTTTTCGATTTTCGGGAGCCTATATCTCAGCCCCTCTATGAGTCCGCACGAAAATTTTTTCACCATTCGACTCAACTCGACGTGCTCTTTCGAATGACATATAATTTGACCCATTTGCGCTCTGTTCGTTTTCCGAAATTTTTCCATATTTTACTATTAAACACATACCAATTTTTTTCTATTATTTTACAGTTGGAAAGACCTATCACAATATATTTTTTATTTATTTTTTTAAAAAATTTTTTATTATTTATAATTGATGTTTTGTTTTTATGCATATCCTTTGACCTCCCATTTATGACTTTTTTTTTTGACTTAAACTTTATTTAAATTTATCCGACAACGATGTTAGTGGACTCCCTTTCGTTGTATATTTTTAATTTTTGAATAAATAAAACGACCAAAATCCAAAATTCAGATTAAAAAAATTTTTGAATGAAAATGGATAAAATAAAAATTGTTTATTTCAACAATTAAGTTTAGAGATGAATTTTACAAATACAAAACTTTATTTGAAACAAAACAAAAAAATTAATAAGCAAAAATTAACAAGAAAATAAACATTTTAATTCACTTCCCTTTAGGTTTACTTTGTTCTGTTCGTAGCGATTGTACCGGCCGATAAACAAATTAACAAATGACGACTCGCCAGTAGAAGCAGTTGGACATTTGGCCCACAAGAAAAAATCAGGACATTCCGTCCAAGGATTTTAAGAACAATATTTTTACCCAAGAAAATACTTGCAGCAAATACAACACAGAAACATTATATATAGTTGTCTTATACAATATTTTTCTACTATTTATACCCTTCATACTCAATTTCAATCCTTCATCGCCTCCCTTATTTCTTCTTCCGTTGGCATCTGAAAATTGAAAAATATATATAGTAGCAATTTAAGATTTGACTCCGAACATTCAGAGGTGATTTTTGATGTCGAGGACGTTAGCCAAAAAAGGAAGGGATTAAACGGGTCGGGATCTAGTTTCTCAATTTAAATCAAAAATATTTTCAAACCTTTCCCATCCGTTCAAGTTGGGTAGTCTCATCTTCTGTGTCCACATCTGCCGTCCCCAATTCTTCAAACTCTATGAGGAATTTGTGTTTTCGGCAATCCTTCGGTTTTGTGGTCCCGACGAAAAATAAATTTAAAAATCCCGTAGAGACCTTTTCTAGGGTAATTTTCTGTGCTGATCACGAATCTGAACTCAGATTTTGTCTACCACTTGATTTTATCTATGATTTTTTATCAAGTACTTGATTATCAAGTACAAGTATTTATCATGTACAATATTGGTGTCATTCGAAAGAGCTCCGAAAGCTGAGACGAACTATGGGTGAACGAAGTCGGTCCGGTACCTAGGGACCGAGATATGGTCACTTGAAAATCCGAAAACTATATGAGGGAACTTTTTCTTTTTGGCGTCAAAAATTCGAATGCTCAAATTATAGCTCATTAGAAAGGGCTCTTCAAGTTGAGACGAATGACACCAAAATTAACGCAATCTAACTCGCTAGAACTGAGTTATAAGCCCAAAAATTTGAAAACCATGGATGGCATTAGGCTCGTTTTAGGACCATATCTCGGTCCCTAGGTACCGGACCGACTTCGTTCACCCATAGTTCGTCTCAGCTTTCGGAGCTCTTTCGAATGACACCAATATTGTACATGATAAATACTTGTACTTGATAATCAAGTACTTGATAAAAAAATCATAGATAAAATCAAGTGGTAGACAAAATCTGAGTTCAGATTCGTGATCAGCACAGAAAATTACCCTAGAAAAGGTCTCTACGGGATTTTTAAATTTATTTTTCGTCGGGACCACAAAACCGAAGGATTGCCGTGTTTTCCTTTAGTTTCTTAGGTTGTCGGGCGGAAGAGAATTATATCAGCTTGGAGTTCAAGTTTTCCAGTTGATTTGCCTTTCTTGTCCACAGCCTTTTCCAATTGCAAATGTAGAACACCGGCATAACTACCCTAAAAAATAAATTTTAAAAACGGGAGGAAGAGACAAAACAAAGAAAAAAACAAAAGAAAACCTTAGCTGCATGGTCCACAGCCCCAAACAGAGTAAGCAATCTCTTTCCAGCAAAGAATCCAAATCCACAATTGAAAGGCTGATGTGCACGCACAATGATTTAAAGTTGAGTCTTTCACATGTCGCGTATACATCCTGAACACTAAAAAGTTTGGAGCATCCTCTCGGAACGTTCTTCTCAAAAGTTTGAACATCACCCTTAAAAAACAAAATTATTTTTAGATTTTACAAAAACTCCTCACACTAGGATCAGCCCAAAGCAAATCTAATTGCGAAGAATCTTCAGTTGTTATATCCAAAGGGATTTTAATCTGAAGAGAGAAATTATATTGTTAATTAAAAATTTAATAGAAAAACCTTTGCAAGGTCGCTAAGTTTATTCAATTTCGGCGAAATCCCTCCGTGCATGCAAAGAATGTGATCTTTAAAAAGAAAAAAGATTTAATGTAAAGCTCAGGAGAGGAATCTCTTTCTCCCAGAAGAGGAAAATGCTTAGAGGAAGCCCCTGATTTTTTAAGTGAAGCAAAGTCAACATCCCTGGGAGCCAATTCAGCATCATATGCTGTAGGCAGAGTTTCTAGAAATAACTGCCAGGTGAGTCATTTCTAGGACCAGGTGAACTGACCCCCTTGTTAACAATAAAAAATTATCTCACCAGCAACAAGCGCAACGAGAGGAAGGCATCTAAACACTTTGTTGAAAGCTTTGTATACAGCAATGCTATCCCCATGATTGAATCTGGATTTGTATCTCTTCGTAGAATCCATACACTGAATTGCATTGATCTAAGAAAAATTAAAGTTTATTCGACTAAATTTTTAGGCTTTTAATAACTGACCAGTTTCGTGATTGCCTCAAAGTAGATAAATCTGAAAAAATTGATTAGAGATGATTAGAGCGAAGGAAACACTTTTCACCTTATACGGGAATTTGATTTTCAAACAAATCAACAAACAAGCAACCTCAACCAAACGATTACCGCGATCGACAGTCTGAAAATAGATAATAATTCTCCTTTAAAATTCGCAAACTCTCTCCTCTCACCTCCTAAAAACAAATAGGCCTTTTCACCAGGCGCTCCGCAAGCATTTAAGATTCGCAAAAGTTGTCGCCAATCCCCGTGAAGGTCCCCAACAATGTAGAGGGGCAAATGTCAAATTTTTATAATGCAGCTATCATCCTTGTAATGTTTCTTGATTGAATTCTCAGCAGTCAGACAAAGCGTTGTTATCTCACTTGGGTGGTAGACAATCTAATAAAAATGAGTGAAAGGTTTAAATTCCCCTTTAAAATTACCCTTTTCCTTGTGTAGCGCAAATGTTTATTCAGAAACTTGTCCAAGATGAAAGTTGGCTCCTTGAAGCTGTCACCATTGTTGAAACTCGTAACAACACTCTTTGCGGCAGCAGAAGCTCCTGGATCCAAAGCTGTATCTGCGTTGTCGTCCTCCATTTTTTACGAAGACGTCGTTGATTGTTTTACTGGTGTAAAGTCGACAGTGAGAAGTTGAAATGAATGTGCAGTATTAAAAATACTTTTACAGTACAAATTTTTATACTACTAGAATAATTGAAAGTTAACTAATCCCGTTAGCATTTCACTCACTTTTTCACTTCCTAACATTTTGTCGCGTTGACATTTTGTAAACTAACCAAAATGAAAAAAACGTTTCGCCAAAGAAATTTTTTGGCAATTTCTTAAAGAGGCCAGTTTTTTAAGATTTTTCTTGTAATTTTTTATTTAAAAATTTTTTTAAATTTTTTTTTCGAAATTTAGACACCTTTATGAACATATTTTCATCATGGGCATCTTCTCGTTCAACAATGCTGAGATTTATTGCCCTTTCATTAAGCTACACAATTTCATTATTTATTTTTCAAAAAGGACTACTTGTAAAACGACATGTTCTTCCATTAAAAAGTTCTTGTTTAGACATTGTTAGTGAAGAAAATTGTTGGATTAAACCAAAATATAACAAAAGTATTCTTTTAATTATTGACGCTCTTCGATTTGATTTTATTTTTCCTTATGAAAATTGTATGGGAAAACAACAATTAAAAGGAGATGAAAAATATTATCATGGACAAATGGTTTTCTTTTTAAATATTTTTTTAAAGTATAGTTTTATGTGCTGAAGTGGATTGTAGAGATCGGCCTGGGTCTGGACCAGGGCCGGGGGTTTTTCCTGTACCCAGAGTCAGGGTTTGGCATTTTTTGACCTTCCTGGATTTTTCCTGGGGCCCAGGATCCGTCCCAGGTCAATAAATCAAATCCGGAATGCAGAAACAGGTCCAGTCTCTTCAAAAATTCCGATCTCTAGTGGATTGGGGACCGATACTTGCGGTCCCTTTTTATTGGTCCGCAAGTGCGAATCCGCAGATTCAAATACCACTGATTGTGAGATCAAAAATTATTTTACTTTAATTTTCAATCGAACTTTTTTCTAAAAATTATTTTATGAATTTCCCCTCCTTTTTGCTTTGTTTTAACGTCAATTAAGGGAATTTTTAGAATTCACATTTTAAATTTTTTTTTAAATCTTAATACTCTATTTCTGGGTAGAAATCGCACATATTTTTGGACATTTTTTAATTTAAAATTTTTTTTAATTAGCCAAAAATTGCCAGACTTCTTCGTGAACAACCTGGAAATGCTCTTTTGTTTCCCTTTATTTCGGACGCCCCAACAACAACATTTCAAAGAATTAAGGCTTTGGTTACTGGAAGTGTGCCTGCATTTATTGAGGCTGGAGACAATTTTGATGGAACTAAAATTTCTGAAGACAATATTTTGGATCAATTATTGACTAGAGGAAAGAATGCTACACTTTTGGGAGATGAGACTTGGTTTTTATTTTAAATTTACTTAATTTTAGAAGTGTGCCTGCACTTCCAAATTCGTTACCTAAAATTCGTCCTTTTAATTAATTTTCCCGAAAATAAACTTAAAACTTTCTTGTTACGATCAAAAAAATTTTTTCCCAGGTTTTTAACATAGTCTAATTTTAAGAGAGAATTTTAGAAGATATTTTCTTCCCAGACGGTTCACAAAGCTTAAAAAAATCAAATTTACTAACTAAATCTATAGCTGTATTCTTAATCCTCGTTTCCTCCTCATTGACAAGTTGTTGAACTTTTGTTACTTAAACTTCGTCCTTAAACTTAAAATTCATTTTTTTAATCTATTTTCTTATTTTAAAGGTTGCAGCTTTTACCAGACCGTTTTCACAGACATTTTGAAAAGCCAAGCTTTGACATTATGGATTTGGATACTGTTGACGATGCAGTTATTGGTATTTAATTTAATTTTTATAAATTCGAGGATGTCTCATTTTTAATAATTTTTATTGAAAACGGTTAGAATATGGTTATTTTTGTGGTTGAATTTATTTGGTTATTTTTGTCCTTTCGTCACAATTTAATTTTTAAAATTATTTCTGATCCCATTTTTGACCTTTAAAAATTTATTTTTATTAAAATTTCTCTCAAAAAAATTTTTAAAAATTTTTTAGCCAACATTTTCGACGAAATTGACCGTTCTGATTGGTCCCTAATAATTGCCCATTGTCTAGGCGTTGACCACGCCGGTCATCGTTATGGACAGGCACATGCAGAGATGAGCAGAAAATTGTTACAAATGGACAGATTAGTGGAGGATTTGACTGAAAAAATGGACGAAGAAACTATTTTGTTTGTATTTGGTGACCACGGAATGACTTCATCTGGAGATCATGGAGGGGATAGTTTAAATGAATTAAGTACTGCTTTGTTTGCATATACTCGTCCAAAAGGAAACGAATCAGAAAAACCTTTCTCTGCTGAATTTGACTGTTCTGGCAAATTTTGGTGTGGAGTTGACTCGGTTTCTCAGGTTTTTATTTTTGATTTTAAATTTATTTAAAAGGTTTGGCTGTTGGTTATAAATTCTAAAAAAATTCAATTTCTTTTTATAATATTTTTTTAGAATTATTTTGGCCTAAAGTTAAATTTAAAAATTTTCAAGGCTGTGATTTTTGAGTTCAATGGGCATCGAACCCTCCCCTTTTCCTGTAATAAACTGAAAGCTATCCCACTACACCAAAAAAATTTTTTTTATTTTTTCTTTTTAGGGGGAAAGGCTTTAGTTTCCAATAAAAATTTGTAAAAATTAATTTGGAAAATATTTTTTTTATTTTTAAATATTTTTTAAATTTTTTTTAAAGGTAGATTTAGTTCCGACATTGTCCTTACTTCTTGATTTACCAATTCCATATCCAAATATTGGCCAAATAATTAAACCTATTTTTGGGAATGATTCGTCTAATTTATTTCAACAACTGAAGTTAAATGCTTTTCAAATGTTTCGATATGCACGTGAATATGCCAAACATCAAATTGATTTGAGGGTATTTTTTAATTAAAAAAACTTTCCTTCTAGGAAAAATTACCGAAAAATCCGGGAAAATTTTTTTATGTTTCGACATGAACTTTCAATTTTTAATTTAGGCAGTGTACACTTAAATAAGGTTGAGCGGGATCGGGTTGGATTATCCCGGTTTTTTTGAATCCTCTTCTGTTTTTCTTTGGGCAGTGTACACTAGTGATGTTAGGGAGAAGAAAAAAGCTTTGAAACTGGACGGGAAATAACCTCGGGATCGAGAGGCCTAAAGCTCGGGAAAATTTCCTGATTTGGAAGTCGAATCGGGATACATGAACATCACTAGTGTACAATTAAATACTACGGTTCCCCTCATTCTTTCTAAATTATCAAAATGGGGTTTCAAAAATTTATTTCACTTTATTTCTCTTATTTTTTAATTTCTTTAACCAATGATTTTAATTTTGTCCCTACACCTATACTTTTTTAAAAGACGTAAAACGTTTAAATTTCATGGATTTATAATTTTATTTTATGGAATTAAAAATTTATTTTCAGTTTTCCTCAAAGTTCCTTTTAATTCCTCATTTAATAAAATAAATTTCAAAAAAAATAATTTTCAGGATGATCTATCAAAAATTTCTCGTCTATATGAAAGTACAACAAATACAGACGACTTGACACAAACAATAAAAAATTTAAGCAATTTAATTCGTTCTTCATTAGACCAATTTTATTTTGAATTGTGCCTTGTTGGAATTTTTTCTTTGGTGGATTCTTTAGCTTTTAATTGTTTTTTAATTTTTAATGCAAAAAATACGACGCCTTTCTTTCTTTGGATTTTTCGTTCTGCAATGCTTTTATTACAGGTTTTTAAAGAAAATTTTTTTTACATTAGATTTTTTATAAAGTTAAAAGTGAAAAGTAGGCATATTTTTAATTTTCGAGCCAGCTCTGTAGTCAATAAAAAAGGATCTCGGGCAGGCCCGTAGCCAGAGCGGGCGGAGGTAGTGTGGAGCATTGGTGCCTCATTGTTTTAGCCTTGGTGCCTTGTTGCTTTTAATTACCCCTCGTTTTAGAAGCTAACGACATTTATAATCTGACATGAGATAATCATTTGGGTAGCTCTATCCTCCTTCCCCCGGTGGCCAAATAAATTTTAGAAATCGTGTCTAAAAATGAGGGCTATCTAAATGTAATATTTAAAAACAAAATTTGATTAATCAAAATTTCCTGACTTGAGATAAATAGCGAAGGTATAACAACCTCATGATTTTTTTTTAATTTTAACTCGATTAGGAAATTTAAAAAAATTTTGTTTTAAATTTGTATTTAATTCTAAAATTTTTTTTCCAAAATTTTCTTTTTCAGCTCAGTCTAATTTTTGCAGAAAAACCCGGTAATGACCAATTAATATATACAACTACAAGTTTATTTGTGTCTCTATGTTATTTTCTACTTGTATTTTTATTTGGCACTTCAATTCGAATTAAATTTAAATATTTTATTTCTTTTTTATTTTCAAATTTTCAATTTTTTGGACAACTAATTTTGGGTTTTCTTGCATTTTCAAACAGTTTTATTATTTATGAATCGGATGTTTTACAATTTTCTATTCAATCTTTAATTTTAATTGCTTTAATTAAACAATTAAATATTTACAGGTTAATTTTTGAATTTTTTAAAAATATTTTATTGAGAAAATTGGAAAAATTCTTGACAATTTATTTTTCAGAATATTTTTTTTTCTTAGAAATTATTAAAACTTTATTCCTATTTTTGAGGGAAAATGTTATTGTGTTCGAGTTCTGTGGGTTGAGTATTTAATTACTATATTAGAATTAGTATTTATTTGTAAGAATTTTTCCTTTTTTTGTAGTCGATAAAGGATTTTTATTAAAAAAAATTTTTTTTTAATTCCCCGAGAGATCCCGTTGGTACGTCGTCTCCGGGATCGGACTGATCCGATGTATGGATGATTGTCCTATTCCTTCAATTTCACTTAAAATTCTTTGGAAATTCTAAAAAATTCTTATCAGAATGGGGTGTAATATTAAGTAGATGGATTCCATAGAAATAAATTTATTGAGATATTTATTACCGTGTTTATTTAGGACTTGATTAAAATTGAAAATCAAAATAAAATTATTTTTTAATTTTCAGAGAATTCTCAATCTACAGACTTTCATTTAACTTCAAAATGTTTATTTTTCATATAATTGTTGTTTTTCCATCTTTATTAATTCTAAAACAATTTGAAAGTTGCAGAGAAGAGCAGGTTGGAATTTAATAGAAAAATTGTATTGTTAAAATTCTGAATAGAAGAATTCTGATTTTTCTGAAAAATTTTCTGATCAGAAGAATTCTGGGTTTCTTGAAAAATTCTGATATACAAAATTCTGATTATCTCCAGAAATTCTGCTCAGAAATTTTGTTCTTTTTTTATGAATTCTGAAAAAAATTCTGATTTTTCTAAGAATTCTCATTAGAAGATTCTGATTTTTTCTGAATAATTTTCTGATCAAAAGAATTCTGTTTTCTGAAAATTCTGAAAAAAATTCTGACAGAAAATTCTGATTTTTTCTGGAAAATTCTGAAAAATTCTCATCAGAAGATTCTGATTTTTTCTGGAAAATTCTGATTTTTTCTGAAAAAATTCTGATTTTTCTAAGAATTCTCTTCAGAAGAATTCTGATTTTCTCCTAAAATTCTGATCAGAAAATTCTGTTTTTATCTAAATAAAAATTTTCAAGGTTTTATGCTACACTTTTATATTTACAACAGAACAATTACTTCCTTGGAGTATTTTAGCAAGTTTTGTTTCAACATTCTTTTTATTGGAAGATAGATGGAAAGCATTAAAAATAACTAGATTTTTTGTTTGGCCGTTACTTATTCTTCTTTATTTACATTGGATTTTTGAATCTATGGTTATGACAATGAAGGGAAAGGTAAAAGAATTTAATGGATATTGGGGGGTGGGGGAAGGATAGATAGAAAACTGATAATGGTAAAGGAGAGATAAGACCGAGACGTGATCTCGATCAAAAATCTCGGTTATCGAGATCGATATTTTTTTGTGATCTCGATTCTCATACTGCACTCCCAGTCCGGTTTTTAGTGTAAAGAGCTTTTGTGTGAGCAGAATAATGTAAAACAGGGAGCCCTCCGTCCCGGGGGATGTTAAAAATAGACTAAGATAAATTGCGACACATAAACGAAAAATTTCATAATCACCCGCTCCCTGAGAATCACAAATTTATTTTTTATGTCGCTAGCATCTCTGGTGTAAGGGTATAGGATAAATAGAACATGTAATGTGAAAGGAACATTGTATAGGGTGAAGGGAATTTGCGTGAAAGGAATATTTATTACAAAAGTAAGGGAACGAGTAAAGCAAAGAATTTTTCAGATTAAAAAACACGTCTAGTATCAATTTTTATATATTAAATTCTTTATAGCCTTCAACTTCCCAATCTGTCCATAATACAATTAATTTATTTGAGAATCTCAGTCAATTATTAGCCAAATCACTTTTTTCTGTTACTCTAGTTCACTTTTTTGCCATAAAATTATTTGGAGATGAAAATTTAAATAAAATTGATTGGTTAAAGTCAATATATCAAATGATTAGTTTACCTTTAATTATGTTGATTGGGGCTGAGTATGGATGGAGAACGGCTTTTTGTTTATTTTTATTTCCGGTGACAGACTTTTTCTTTCAAAATGGTGAGTGAATGAATATTTGGAATTAGTTTTTAAAAACATAAAAAATATATACAAGGTTTCTGATAAAAAATTTTTTTCTTAAGTCTTAAGAGTAAGGTTGTCGAATAGTTGGAAATCTTATACGGATCCGATATCTAAACCGAAAATTTCCTGATATCATGCCTTTCGGATCCGATTATTTGGATCCGACAACCTTAAGAGCGAATAATAAATATTTTTACAAATTTTTCTGGACAAGGGATTTCGTATATTATCTTATAATCTGGTTAATAATTTTTTGGAATTTCTTTCCAATTTAAAGCTAATTGTGTATAGGGAGGGCATGGATGTCCGCAGTTGAAAACAATTCAAAAATATTTTTCTCCAGCCCCAACCCTTTTAAAAATTCGCAGCTCACCCAATTCCAAGCTGTCCACCGTTGGGGATTGTTTTTTAAATAAAGGGATTTTAAGGATTATTTTTTAAATTTAAATCTGAACCTTTTAAATATTTCGAATCCTAACAAAAAAAATTTTTTCTAAAAATCCATTTTTCTAAGACATCAAAAATTGGTGTTGGTTAATGAGTTTATTGGCTGCTTATTGTTTTTATGCAACAGGAAATCAAAGAACTTTAAATTCAATTCCTTGGCGTGCGGCTTTTGTTGTTTTACCTGGAAATTTTGCTTTTAAATGGGTTCCTGCTTCTTTTATTTTGACTGCAATGTTTTTTGGACAATTATTAGCTTCTTTAATGGCACATATGAAAGAAGAGGAAACGGCCCCTTTTTATTTAATTTTGTTTTTGGCAATTAAAGTAGGCAATATGATTTTATTTTTTAAATTTAAATAAAGTTCCGTTGAAGGGAAAGGAATTTCATGAACGTTTCTCTATGAAGTACCAAATTTATGTAGGGCGAAGGGAACACAGAATATATGGTGTGAAGAGGACATTAATGTGGGGCGAGGGGAACACGCATGTAGAGTGAAGGGGGGAATGAAGATGGGATGATTGTTGGGAATGAAGGTGGGATCGGAAAAATGGGATTTTACGGGATGTCTTCTTCATCACAAACATTTAATCTTCACGCTACATATCTTATATTATGAATTGGAGTAGATTGAAATAAACTAGGAGTTAGGAAGAATCAAATAATTTCGAATTCGATTTTAACATCTTTCCAATCTCTAAAGGGAACACGGAACTAATAAAAAAATTTCGGTACTAATAAAATACTAATTTTTCTTAATTTCAAAAAGGTATTTGGCTCAGTTCTCGCCTCTCTTCTTCATCACAAACATTTAATGTTTTACAAAGTTTTTGCTCCAAAATTTGTTTTTGACGCTGTGGAATTGCTTACTTGTTGTGCCTTTAATTTTATAATTTATTTGTTGACAACGAGTTTTTAAATTGTTGAGAAATTAAAAAGAAGAGATATTTATATTTTTTGTGATTAACAGACACATCTCTCACTTTTCTAATCCCATAATTTATAAAATTTTTTTAAAATTATTTTTAAATTTATTTTTAAATAAGTTGACTAAATAAAATTAAAGTTTATAAAAATTTTTTTGATTTTTTTAAATTAAAATAAAGAGAGAATAAAGAAATTGTCATGTTGTGTGAAAATTATCCTTTATTTGCATTATCCTATCATATCCTATTTATATTATCGGGTACACCCCAACTTACCGCGAGCCCAACTTACCGCAGAAAAAGTTTAGAAAGTCGCCTCGACGAGCTGAATCGAACGATACCAGGGCGTCCCGGATCTGACAATTTTGAACAAAGTTATAGCTGCGGTAAGTTGGCCTGCTCCCATATTATCCTATCAAAGATAATATCCTATCAATTATCCCTTCAACATTCGCTAAGTTAAAATTAATTTTAGGGAGAGAAAATAAAGTTTATGTAATAGGGCAAAATTTTTAAATATAGCCAAATGAATGAATATTTTTAATTGTGTATTAGAGGAGTGCTTTTAATTTAAGTTGAGTGAATGAGAAAAAAAGACTAAATAAGTAAATAAAAAATTGTTGCCTAAATAAAAAAACATTTCAAAAACGAATATTTAAAAATCTTTTCTTTAACTAAAAAGGATTAAAAAAATTTCCTCTCTCTTGTTTTGTGAGACGGCATAATTTTAAAGGTCAGAACAAGTAATATAAATTTGGGCAATTTTTTGTTTAATAAGACACAATTTTATTCTAAATACTAGACACAAAAATTAGCAGCGTAAAAATTACTTTCTTGGAAGTAATTTTTTTAGTAGTATCTTTGTTTTATAATTTTCATATTTAGAAAATATTTTTAGATTGAGTAAAATAAGTTCCGAATTTTTAGAGCAAATATAGTAAAATAATTTAAAATGGGATCAGCTTCATCATCATCCTCTTCTTCATCATCTTCATCGTCGTCTAATTCTTCAACTGACCACCATTCAGAATGGAAATCTACTGGCTATTGTGTAAGGATTTCTTGAATTATAATCAAAGATAGCTTATTTAAATTATAATTTTCTCTCTCTATTTCTGATCCTGATTTGCTTAATTTAGGTAAAACTAGTTGAAAAATATACAGAATAAAGCTTTTTATTCTAACTTTTAATTATTCTTAAGTGTGGGTTGACTTATAACTTATGTTAGCTAACCTGAGTTGATTTTATTCCTCTTCAATAAAAGATAATAATTATGCATGGATTAAATTGCCCTCAATATCACTTAAATTTTATCTTTGTTTAATTTTTCAGGGTTGCAGTGCCGACTTTTATGAGATTTGGAAAATTGAGAAGACTCCTCATTCTATGGGAGATTTTGTTAATCTCGCCTATTTCTTTGTTAGGTGCTTTAGTTAAATTTTTATATTTAAACTTTATTTAACCTTATACATAATTGAACACTGGTTTTTCAAGTCTTATCTTTTCGCGTTATCTTTTCTTTCTCTAGTATTCCTGAAAGAAATAAAGATGCTTGAAAGGAAGATATCTTTTGGGATCTGGGTCATTTGATCAATAGGGAGTAGAATGGAGTAGAGACCGGTCTTAAGACAAAAATGGTTCTTTTCTGTTATCTCCCTTTTGAGAAGAAATATTGCGGACAAAACTTGCGGACTTTTGGGCCACATAACAGAAAATAACCAAAATGAAGGACAAACATGTAATTATCAAATTTATTTAGGTTTACCTTAACATTTTCCGTAATACTAACTCCACTTGGTATAGCATCAATGCAACTTCCGGATTATTGTCACTATGCTGTTCATTTATTTGTTCGTTGCCGCAATTGTGGTCGTAACATGGATCTTACTTGTGAGTTTTCAAAGTCCGGAAAGAAACTGCGCTGGGGCTGCTATGGGGAAAAATTTAACGATGGGGAATCAAAAGAATTTGAACCGCGTTTGTCTTACAACATGATCAGAAATGTCTTCGACGAGATGTGGCACAACGGTTACGACTTGATTGCTCGTAATTGTGGCCATTGGGCAAAGGATTTCTATGGAAGAATTTGTAATTTGGCTTGAAAGATTTTTGGAATAAATTTTAAATTAAAAATTTCATTTAACTATATACTTTCAATTTTAAAATAAACATTGTTGGGCACTGCCCAAAGGGGCGCGCGGCCATAACGGCGCAAAGCCATAACCTGCTAGAAAATTTCTGACCCTTATTAATTTTAGTACCAATCTATTTAGCTCGATGAGAGCAATCGTTTAATACCAAAATTGGTAAGATTCAGTTACCTTAAAACAATTCATGGCTTTGCGCCGTTATAAGTGCCCTTCTGGGCCTGCCCCTAATTTTGTGGGTTTTTTTATTTTTTATACGAATTAAATTCAAAATTTTCTTTAAATTTTTTTAAATTTTCTTGTTCTCGATGGATAAATAAAATTTATTTTCTCTAATTTCCAAGTTTATTTTATATAGGTTCCGGAAAACTATTTTTCTTTATTTTGAGAATTTTCAGAAAAAAAAGATTTTGTTGTTGTAAGGAAACAACAACAAAATTATTTGAAACAATTTCTGATACTTTAAAAATACTCATATTTTGTGTTTCTCGAAGAAATTTAGGAACTTATATGGTTTGGGCGGAGCAGTTCAACTGAGTCCGCACGATTGAGTCCGCACGATTGAGTCCCCACGATTGAGTCCCGGCACAATTGAGTCCCCACGATTGAGTCCGCACGATTGAGTCCCCGTTGTATATACCTCAATTGAGTCCCCGTGGATTTAATTTTAAAAATTCCCGGTAGGGGACACTTGTGTACCGGCCGTTTGTGTACCGCCGGTTGTGTACCCACCCAAAGGGGGACGTTTGTGTACCCGCATTATTTTCCTAGATTTTTTTATTGTTTTTTTTTTATTTTTTTGTTTTTCTTTTGGGGTTTGCAACTAATTTTGTTAATTAGTTGACCGAGCATCCACTCAAGTCCATCCGAGCACTGAATTTTCTCAATGAGGACGAGAGGGAGGACGAGAATCTTGTGTAGGTAAAAGTTTAATTTTTATTTTTTAATTTTAGATTTTATATTTCAGGTTGGTCTAACTTTGCTCATCACGTGTCGGACTTCATCCACGGCTGCAACGATGGGAAATTTGAAAAGGTTTGGAATTTTTATTTTGTTTTTCGTTTTTATTTTTAAAATTTTTTAGTTGATTTTCGTCAGTTTCTGACTGGCGATTTTCAAGTTCACAGTTTCTGAAGGAACGAAGGTGGTGAACTTAGGAGAACAAATAACGAAAGAAAGGCCCTTCTTTGGCACACTAATTGAAGCTAGACTTTGGTTTTTTTTAATTTTTTTGATAAAATTTTTAAAAAATATTTTTTTATTTTTTTTTTCACATTTTGATTTTCTCCCGTATCCAGGTAAATTCTGCCGGAGTCCGAAAATTAGGAAGGAGTTTTTACGTTCGTAATTTAGATAGTTTCCCCTACCCTCCATAGCAGCACAAAAAGTTTTTCCAGCGAAGATTCTGTTGGTCAAAATTTGTTCAGAATCATTCAATCAACTTGATTTTGGTCTTATTCAACTCATCTCGTCGATCCCTTTCGAATGAGCTATTTTTTGTTTATTCGAATGTTTCGCAACAAAAATTCCCCATGGAATTCCACCAAAAAATCCACCATTTCGAGCCCCATATCTCGGCGAGAACTTGTTCAACAATGTTGATTTTCGTGTCATTCGACTCACTACTTTCGAATGAGCTGTCATTCAAAAAATCTCTCGATATCCCTCCTAATCCCCAAACCCACAATATCCATCTTAATCTCTCCGAATTTGTTGATATCTGCCTTAATTCAACCGATATCCCCGCTTAAATCTACTTATATCCCTTGATATTCACCAATATCCATCTTGATACCTCGATGTCGCATACAAGTCCCCTGATATTAACATTAATCCCTCCAAATCCCCAAATATCCCTCTTAATCTTTTTTAATATAATTAAATCCACGGGGACTCAATTGAGGTATATACAACGGGGACTCAATCGTGCGGACTCAATCGTGGGGACTCAATTGTGCCGGGACTCAATCGTGGGGACTCAATCGTGCGGACTCAATCGTGAGGACTCAATCGTGCGGACTCAATTGAGGTGTACCGTGGTTTGGGTACTCTTTTTTTTTAGCCACGCCCTTTTTTACTTTTCCTTCATCAATCAACCTTAATATGGACAGAATGGTCAGCCTTTCTTTCTTCCTCGATTTTACTTAACTTTTCCTGTGGCATTTTCAGTGAGAGACATTAACAAGGAAAAGATTAATTTTCCTTTCCAATTTCACCAAAATTGAGTTACCATTTGAATCAATATTCTAATTTTTATCTATTTCAATTATTTAAATTATTTAAATGGCAATAGGTATCCTGGTTCTACGTTTTGGAACTAATGGTCCAGTATTTTATTTTGTTTTCTAGTTTTTGCATGTTTAAAATCATATTTTTTACAAAATGCCGACCGTTTTACCCATTTTTAGAAATTTTTGGACCCCTGTAATTCAGTTCAGAGATCTCACGGATGGAGTTTAGTGCCATACGTCTCAGCCCAGCTCGATGAGTCATCCGAGTCAGCTCTATTTCTCTCTTTATTTTAAACAAAAAATTGACCTCAACTCAATTGATTGATGGTTGAGAGGGAAAAAGAGTAAAAGAATAATGATGGAAAAGCAAAAAAGGGCGTGGCTAAAAAAAGAGTACCCAAACCATATAAGTTCCGAAATTTATACAACAAAACTAAATTCTGATTTATTATCCATTTATATTTTTTAATCGTCATACATACATCCTTCTCGTTCATAACACAATCAGTCTTGCATCGACTCCCTTATTTCTTCCTCTGTTGGCATCTTAAAAAGAGAAAAAATTGAAATGATTTTAAAATTTAAAAATGTAAAGCAAGGCTTATAATTTCTAAGAAGCAGACCAGTCTACCTCGATCCTTGTCTACTTTATTTCCTTTTTAAGTTAAAGGGATCAACCCTGAAGGTCAAAACACGGAATGTCAAGCCTCATAAGGTCAAGACCTCATCCCGTTAATATCGTCAAATCCAACTTAATCACGAGTCTCTATCCTACTCCTTTCCTTTTCTAAGCTAATATCTACAAACCCGACTTAATCACGAGTCCATGACCGACTCCTTTCCTTGCTAAGCTAAAACCCACAAAGATTCTGGACCTCAAAGGCCATAAATTTTTTGTTCAAAAAATCTCTACCTTTCCAAGTATCTCAAGTTGAGTTTCCTCATCCTCCTCAGCTTCCGGGAAATTCTCAAACTCCTCGATGAACTTTTTCTTTCCCTTAGTTTCTTTTGTAGCAGGACGGAAGATAATAATGCCAGCTTGGATTTCTTTTTTCTCAGTTGCTTTGCCTTTCTTATCTTGAACATTGCCCAATTGTAGATGAAGAATACCGGCAAAACTTCCCTAAAAATTTAATTTCACAGAGCTTATTAAGGCCAAATAAGAGATTTCACCTTCACAACATAGTCCGTCGCCCCAAACAAAGTAACCATTCTCTTTCCCGCAAAAAAGCCAAAACCGCGATTAAAGGCCTGATGAGCTCGCACAATGAGTTTAATACCGAGCTTCTCACAGGTCGAATAAACCTCTTGTGGTCCAAACCAAACGGAACTTTGCCGAGCTTCGTTATACTCAAATCCATCTACATCACCCTTAAATGACAACATTTTAAGACCAAAACAAATCAAAGGGTACACCTCAACTGAGGCCCGGACCAGTCCATTCAATGCTCTATCTATTACTACCAAGAACATTAAAAATTATCCACCAATTCTCGAGTTATAGGGCCGGGACTCAGTTGAACTGCTCCGCAAATCAAACTCACATTAGGGTCAGACCAGAGAAGATCCAAGTCCAATGGATGATTCTCTGGGAAGAAACTTTTGGGAAGCGAAGTATCTCGCTGTTGCGCAATGATGTCCCTGGGAAGTTTAAGCTGAAAAAGAAACATTTTTAGTCTTTGTGAGGTCTCAGTTACCTTTGTAAGGTCACTGAGCTTATTCAATTTTGGCGAAATCCCTCCATGCATGCACAGAATGCTATCTAAAAATGGGAGGAAGATTAGGCTGAGTAAAAATCAAATTTCCCCACCTACAACCAACGCACACAGGGGAAAATATCTGAACAAGCTATTGATGTGTTTATACACAGAATCGGCATCGCCCAAATTGAATCGAGTTTTTAACTCTTCTCGGAATCCATAATATGCATTGATGTAGTCTTAAAAAATAGAAGGTTACTTTAAAACTGATCCTACAGATTTACCGGTTTCGTGGTTGCCGCGGAGCAGAAAAACCTGAAAAAATAAGATACATAATAGGGTAAAACTAAGGTTTAAGTCTTGCCTTATTTGGGTACTTCATCTTCAAACAAATCAGCAAACAAGCAACTTCCAGAGAGCGTAGACCGCGATCTACATAGTCTAAAAAGAAAAAAATTATTCATTAAGGGAAAGGTCGCTAAGGATCATGATACTTGTGTAGTTTACCCCCCATAAGCCCCGCCCCTTTACTTTTCCTGTAAGACCTACATCCTGAAGACATATACCCTCCTAAAGCCCCGATCCACAGGTCCTCGCGATCTCCCTCCAAATCCACCAATATCCCCTTATAATGTCAAATCCGTCATTATCTCCTTTAATCCCTTCAGATCCCATGAAGGTCTTCAGGGGCGGACTCAGATCACTAGCTCATCAAAAATGCTAACCCCCAAGAAACAGATAAGCCTTATCGCCAGGCAACCCCAACACATTGAATATTCGCAAGAGTTGACGCCAATTCCCATGGATGTCGCCAATAATGTATAGCGGTAAACGCTTGATTTTTACAACGCAAGACTCGTCTTTGTAATGTTTTTTGAATGCATTCTCAGCAGCCAAACAAAGTGTTGTTATCTCGCTAGGATGATAAACAATCTGAAAAAAGAGATTTTTTTATAGATGTTAAGGAAGAAGTCCCCAACCCGCTTCTTTGTATAACGCAAATGCTTCTCCAAAAACTTCTCAAAGATGAAAGTCGGCTGTCTTCCGCTCATAGTACTGTTGGTACTCACAGTTGGACCTACACTTTTACGAGCAGTGGATGCTCCAGCGCCCCGACCAGAAATTGAACGAGCCGTCCTTGCAGTGCTGTCATTAGCGGTGTGTGTCGATTTAGCTGCGGGCATATCCACCAAATCCTTCTAAGAAGTTACAACAAATTTGAGTTGGATTAAGTATTAAGGGCTTTTATAGTAAAAAACAGCATCCGCATAGAGAACATTAAGGGACAAAAGGGTCATGTTGAGTGTCTTTAAGGGTCATGTTGAGTGTAAATTATCCTTTACTTATTGCAATTCAGGCAGGCAATATTTATTTAGAAAATTTTTATTTTTATTAACCTTTCATCATCTTCCTCTAATCCTTCAACGGATCACCATTCAAAATTATTTTTAATTTTTAAAAAATTAAAAAAAACATTAAGGGACAAAAACGCCGTTCTATTCCCCCAAAGCAGAGTTGAATAGGAAATGACAAAGGTGCCGGAACTCGGAACTGTCGGAAATCGGAAATGGCTCAAAAGTCGGAAATTGGAAATCCCGATTTACCTCTGACCGAACTTATAGCGAAAAATTCTGATTTTTTAAATATTCCGTATTTTGGAAGTCCTCGTTTTGCCCTCACACATTTGTTGGCATTTGAACTGACAAAGGTTGATAATAAATAAAATTCTTTTACTAATCAACTCAAAAAAGGCACTAAATAGAATGTCATGTTGAGTGTAGATTATCCTTTACTTATTGCCATTTCGGCAATATTCATTCAGAGAAGGGGATTATTTTTAATTTTTGGAAGAAAAATGGAAGTCCATGAATGAAAATGTTGCCCAATAAAAATAAATTTAAATAAAAACACAAGTCATTTTCTTAAAGTAAATAATTTAAAATTTGTTTCCCTCCGTTGTTTTGTGAGAATTATAAATATAGTCAATGTTTTTTATTTTCATTCATCCCAAATTACTCTAAAAATTTTAAAATTTTCAGAAATTTATTTTAGAGCAAATACAAGTAAATATAATAATTTAAAATGTCATCATCATCAAATTCTTCAACTGATCACCATTCAAAATGGACATATACTGGATGTTGTGTAAGGCATTCATAAGTAAAAAATTTAACTGATGTATAGCTATATTGGATTTTTATTAACCTTTACGGGCAAAAATTCCTTTTTATTTGTCCGTTTTCCCAAAGCAAGTCCAAGACTTCAGTGAGAACTTGGTTGACGTACACACTTACGACGTCCGCGTAAAACTACCGTAAAAACTATTAACTACCCTGGGTAATTATTGTTTCGATCTCTCGCTGGAGGGGGTAATAAATAGAGGCGGGGTAATTAATAGAGGTTATTTTAGAAAGGCTAATTATAATTATTTTTAAGGGGGTAATTAATGTTTCAACCTTTCGCTGGAGGGGGTAACTAATACAGGCGGCGCGCCGAAATTTGCGGATTTTAATTTGCGGACCCGAAATTTGCGGACCCGAACTTTGCGGACCCGAATTTGCGGACCCGAACTATGCGGACACGAATTTTGCGGATCTGAGATTTGCGGACCAAAAATTTGCGGACCGACAATAGAGTCTACTGAACTTCGGAAATTTTAAAAATTTTAGCCTGCGGCGTTAATTAGGATAAATTCAGGCATCATGACCTTATGAATGGCCATTTAAATTATCTTTTTAAGGAATTTTTTTGATTATTTAAATTATGAAATAATTTTATGATAAGAAATTGATAAAAAAATTTGAAAAATCAAGAAAAAATCTTGAATCCGGTACGGATCATGGTAAACTCTGCCGGAATCCGCGAAAAATAAAATTTTGAATTTTTCCTTTTTACTCAAGTGTCGGTCCTAAAATCTCGGTTCCGCAAAAATCAGGTCCGCAAACTTCGTGTCCGCAACCTTCGGGTCCGCAACTTTCGTTCCGCAAATTTCGGGTCCGCAAAGTTCGGGTCCGCAAAGTTCGGGTCCGCAAAGTTCGCGCCACGATACAGGCGGGGTAATTATTTGAGGGAGGGACATTAATACAGTTTTTACGGTAATTCATGAGCCGTATGTTAGAGTTCGAAAATGTCCGTATGTTAGAGTTCACTAATCTGAGTCCACGATTTTATCAGCCCTCACTTTATGACTTTATTTTCGGCCCTATCGCAAATGAGGTGCGTAATCATATTTTTTCTCCTTCCTTCCTCAAGTTAAAAATGGGGAACTTTTTCCTTAGTTTTTAATGTATGCTGATTTCGCCGTAAGGAAAAATGATGCAAGAGGATTAATTATTTACTTTTTGTTTTTTGTTCATGTTTTGACTGACCGTGTTTTCACAGTCAAAACAGGGACAATTTTGACTGAAAAACAGTCAAAACACGACTGAAACTGACTGAAAAACCGTTTTGACTGAAAAAGTCAAAACAGGACAGTTTTGAGACACGGTCAGTCAAAACACGGGTAGAAAAGAAAATGAAAAAATTAATCCTCTTACATTATTTCTCCTTACTAAGGAAAAATACTAAGGAAAAAGTTCCCCATTTTTAACTTGAGGAAGGAAGGAGAAAAAATATGATTACGCACCTCATTTGCGATAGAGCCTTATTTTCCCTCTGTTCAATAAAGGATTAAATTATTAAAGGATACTTGGGTATATTTTTTAGATGTAATCTCATTTAATTTTCAAGGAGTGTAGTGACGAATTTTATGAAGTTTTGAAACTTGAGTGGACAACACATAATATGGGAAATGTTGGTCGGGCTGCTTGGAACGTTTTTAGGTGCTTAAATTAAATTTTTATTTAAACTTTAAACATTATATTACTGACACTTGAAATTGTTAAGAATAATTATTAAGATGTTAGGGAGGGGAATTATTAGAGTTTTGAAATTTGACGTGCAATAGAGGGTATTTGTGGTGGGAGATTGTTTCCAACTCATCTCTAGGATGGGAAATTAATAGAGAAAATCGGTAGCTCGAGGAGATTGAACCTAATGGAAAACTGACATATGTACCATAAATGTTGTAATAGGATAATTATTTAAGTAAAAAAGAATTTCGGAAGGGAGAAAATCTGACCATTATGTACATCTTAATGGAAAAATAGGATAGGAAACAAAACTTGAAATTACTAAATCTATTTTAGAGTTGGTTTATTCTGTACTGGACTAGCTCCACTAGCCGTACTTGGTGCAGCGGCAATGAGAGCTAAAGATTATACACACGAGGCACTCCATTTATTTGTTCATTGCCGCAATTGTGGTCGTGATATGGATGTTACTTGTGAGCTTCTATCTTCTGGAAAGAAAATGCGCTGGGGCCATTATGGAAACCATCTTTATCGAAGAAGCTCGAAAGAATTTGAACCGCGTTTGTCTTACAATAAGATCAAAGAGATATACGATGGGATGTGGGATAAATACAACTTGGTGTTTAAGAATTGTTTTAATTGGGCAAAGGATTTTTATGGAAAAATTTGTAATTTGATTTGAAATCTTATTAAAATTTTGAATTTTAAATTTCATACATATAAAAATAAATTTTTGCATTAAGAGAGAGGTCAATAAAACAAGCGTCCTAAAAAAGAGATATTTGACTGACTGACAAAAATTAGTCGATCGCTAGATAAAAGCTCCCTTTACCACTAATTTTCAACCAAGCAATAAATATATTAAATAAATATATTGATTAAATTGCACTTTAAATAAAAAATCCCTCCTCTATTTAAATAAATTTCAAAAAAATTTCCAAAAAAATATTTCAAAGCAAATAAATTAAGAATAATTTAAAATGTCATCATCCTCTAATTTTTCAACGGATCACCATTCAAATTGGACATATACTAACCGTTGTGTAAGGCGTTTTTAAATTAAAAATTGACGAATTTTTTAAAAAAATGGATTTCCATATTTTCCCAGTCCCAATTATTACTATTTTTCCCCAAAATTTCCTATAAAGTCAAGATCAATTTGTTGAATAATGGACCCCTGGTGAATTAATATTTCAACACATACGCGGTGTGGGGAATTATTCGAGGGAGGGGAATTATTCGAGTTTTGGCATTTGAACGTGCAGTAGGGTATTTGGGGGTGGGGAATTATTGTTTCAACCCAACTCTAGCATGGGGGATTAATCGAGAAAATACGGTACTCTTGATAATTTATCAAAACAATTTTACAGGATTGTAGTGCCGACTTTTATGAGGCTTGGAAAATTGAATGGACAACACATAATATGGGAAATGCTGGTCGTGCCGCTTGGGATGTTTTTAGGTGCCTTAACTAAATTTTCTTGAATTTAAGATTTAAAATTAAACCGACACACAATTAACTATTAAGCTAGGGTTGTTGTTGACCTAATTAGACTGCCCTCTAGTTTTATCACCGGTTTATATTTTGATTCAGTTAAATGACCGCCAACAATCCCCATTTAAACTAGAGTTGCACGAGGTCGAGGTTTTTTGAAAAAATCGAGACCGAGAATTCGGAGGCTGATAAAACCGAGATTGAGGGGGCAGAGACACATGTCCTGTTATTAACCAGTAATATCCAGAGGTTTTCGGTTACTACTGGTTTTCGATTCCAGTTCGGTTAGCCGACTGCCTTCAACCCTAGTTTTAACCAGCTTAACTTATTCTTAAGAAATGCTGCAGCATTCTTATCATTCGGAAGATCAACTAGACACAATGGGGGATTTAAGGATTATACACACGAGGCGGTCCGGATTTCTGTTAATTGCCGTAATTGTGGTTGTAACATGTCTCTTACTTGTGAGCTTTCAAAGTCTGGAAAAGAAATGCGTTGGGGCCTCTATAAGAAACACGTTACTCAAAGGAAATCACGAGAATTTAACCCGCGGTTGTCTTACAATATGATAATGAAGGTGTTTGATGGGATGTGGAATAAATACAATTTGTTTAGTCGTAATTGTGCCGATTGGGCAAGGGAGTTCTATGGAATTATTTGTGAACTGACTTGAAAGATTTTTGGAATAAATTTTAAATTTAATTTAAATACATATGTACAATTTTGCAATAAAAATTATTTATTTTATATGAATAAAATGAAAAAAATTTTTTGGGCGGCCTTAGGATCGGTGAGTTCCCTAAACAACGGTAACCTTCATTTGAGACCTTGTTATTAAGTATGAATTTTTTATATCCCAAAGGAGTATTTAAAATTAGAGACCGGGCTTTAGTGGTCGTTCTATAATATCGGTATCGATAATCGAAATAGTGCTCTATGGGGCTCTATTTTTCAACTATCCCCAAAGTGGGGTTCTATTTTAGGGTAGGGCTCTTTATTTTATTCGTTCCAAGACACTCTAAAATTGATAAAAAAAAATTTTCTACATAAATTCCCTCTACTTTTCTGGTTAACGAATTATTGTCTAAAATATTTTGAATGTTGAAAGTAGTGATGGTCGAGACCGGTTAAAACGAGACTTTTTGACCCATGTGGCAGGTCAATAAGAGAAGAGAGAAGGAAAAAGTCCGCACAGGGAAGAAAAAACAAGGAATTAACCGGTCTCGACCAACCCTACTTGAAAGCTACAAAACTTGAGATTAGACTTGTCAGCTGCTCACGACCTATCTTATAACAGAAAACTTTACGTTTTTTTTTTGAAAATTTGTTGAGAAACTCTGTTGTAAAAGACCCGATAATTTCAAAAAATGAGTTACAATCTAACCTCTTTCTTAGATACACCCAAAATTAGTATACTTTAATATGTATTTGTTTGACTAGGATGCGAAACCATTAATGGATACCCCTTATACCCCAAATATTTATTAGCCATCTAAAGGTGTATTTAAAAATGGACGTTGACCGTATTTTATTATTATATTCCAAGTTTGTTAAATTCATACCCTAAATTTTCTTTGGCACTTTTGGGCTTCTTTTGGGCCCATAGAATTTATTTTAGAGCAAATAAGATAGATATAATTATTTAAAATGTCATCATCTAATTCTTCTGATACAGATCACCATTCTGTTTGGACACCTACTGGTTTTTGTGTAAGGCGTTTTTAAATTAAAAATTAAAAAACTCAAGCCAAAATTCATCATAGTTTTTCGTTAATTTCCTCAAAAATAACGCACAACGCAATGCGTTGACTCCTGATGTACATTATATAATAGTTGAGGTTACCTTCATTTTCCTTCTGTTCAATATAGGATTAAACCACATTGAATGTATTTTTCAGATTTATTCTCATTTAATTTGACAGGATTGTGATGCCGACTTTTATGAAATCTCGGAAATTGAATGGACAACTCATTCTATGGGAGCGGCTGGTCGTGTCACTTGGAACATTTTTAGGTGCTTCGATTTAATTTTTAAATATGTTTAAAATTAAACCGACAGATGAGATTGATGGATCACACTACCCTAATATTTAGGTGGTAAAGAATGGATTGTAGAGATTAACTCAGATTTTTGGTATTAGAGGGGATATCTGAGGATTTGTGTGCATTAAGATTGATTTGTTGTAATTAAGGAGAATTAAGTGACATAAGATGGAAATGCTTTAGTGCAACTATCGGATAAGGCAAAAAAGCAGGTCAACGTATTCTTGATCCGGAGTCACCTTTATCTGCCAAAATATTTGGATTTGAACTCACGGGTAATTTGACGTATAGGAACTTGACTTCTGGGTCTTGCCTTCTTGGGTTTCAACCTTCTTGGATTAACTATTTAATCATTACCTTATAATTAAGAACTGTTGCGGCAGTCGCCACAATTGGACTTTCAACTGTCGTTAATGGTGGATTGAAGTCGTATACACACGAGGCGGTTTGGCTACTTGTTCATTGCCGGAATTGTGATTGTGACATGAATCTTACTTGTGAGCTTGGCAAGTCTAGAAAGATGATGCGCTGGGGTCACTATGGATACTATATTACACGCAAAGAGTCGCAAGAATTTGAACCGCGTTTGTCTTACAAGGAAATCAAAAAAGTATTTGATGAGATGTGGCAGTCCTACAACTTGATTAATGGTAATTGTGCAATTTGGGCAAGCGATTTCTATGGAAGAATTTGTTGTGATGAATCTGATGATGAGTGGAAAGCTACTAGATATTGTGTAAGAAAACTTAACCCTTTTTCCTTGTATATTCCAACAGTACAAGGAGAACAGTACAGTAATTCCAACAGTACAGTACTAATTTAGAAAATTTCAGACGATAAGGTAGCCAAAACAATTTTCAGTCCCAAAGGAGTAAATTATAGTGAAGGTTGAATTTCCCCCTGTTCAATAAAGGATGGAATTACTCTGGATATACTATTTTTCTCATGTAATTTTTCAGGATTGTGATGCCGATTTTTATAAGATTTATGAAATTGAGTGGACAACTCACTCTACAGGAAATGTTGGTAGTCCTATTCTGAACGTTTCTAGGTGCTTCAATTAAATAACTTAAAATTAAACCGACACATGATTAACTATTTAAACCAACACTTATATTAAGAGCTTTTTCTGCTATCTTAACACTTGGATTGTCAACCGTTTTTAATGCTGGAGTTAATTATTATACACAGGAGGCGGTTCGACTTCTTGTTCATTGCCGTAATTGTAAGCGTAACATGGCTATTACTTGTGAGCTTACATCATCTGGAAAGATAATGTGGTGGGGCTACTATGGATACTATATTACACGCAAAGAGTCGAAAGAAATTGAACAGAATTTGTCTTACACTACGATCAAAGATGTGTTTGACGATATGTGGCAAAGTCATGATGGTAATAGTAGTTGCGAATGGGCAAGAGATTTCTATGGAAAAATTATTGATAAATCTTGAAAGATTTTTGACTAAATTTTAAATTTAAAAATACATACAATATTTTTCAATGAAATTTTTTATTAGTTATCCAAATAAAATTCAAAATCGACACTAAATTTATGTAAAAATTTTTTGAGTTCCCGTTTGTGCCTTTCGTTATGGCCGAAAAGGTGTTCGATGGAAAGTGGCGTTCTTATGGTGTGCCGGAAAATTGGGCCCAAGATTTTTCGAAAAATTAGCTCCAGCGGAATTTTAAGCTCTAATGTAAGTGAGAAAAACGGAAAATTGAACTCTAGAATTTTATGAGCGGTGCATTGCAGGCGTCGGAGTGAATTAAAAGATTTATTCAAGAATAACACTAAATCAAGCAAAGTAAACCTATGGGCGTCGGCGAGGCGCTTGTGCGCACGTGCCTCGCGGGAGTCAACGGTCGCTGGGTTCTACAACAACATTTAAAAAGCGTTTTTTTTAATTTTTATTAAAAATTTGATGTGGGAAAATTTTATTATCGTCATTTTATTATCGTCAGATAGAAAGGTTTGGAGTAATTAAGAAAGATTGGTGCATTTGGAAGGAGTCGGGGAATTTTGTTTATTAAGGTTACTTTTCCCATATCTTCCGATATCCGCTTTAATCTTTCATAAGCTCATTAATCTATTAGGACTCAACTGAGGCCTTTGCTTTTAGTGTTTTATGTTTAGAGATTTCTAGGATTGCATAAAACCCTTAGAATTTATTTTAGAGCAAATACGTTAAATATAATAATTTAAAATGTCATCATCTAAATATTCAACAGATCATCATTCAAAGTGGATAGATACTGGCCGTTGTGTAAGGCTTTTTTAAAGTAAAATTAACGACGGGATTTTTGCATTGTACCTTGGGAACCTTGAGGACAGTGGTTGGAATCGTGTGCCATATTTTTGCAAGTTACATTGTACTCAGGTGGTACAAGTAAGAATTTTGGTACGAGCTTCCAAACATTGTCAGGGACCCTGTTTCCCCAAATTTTTCTATACGGGCTAAGAGCAATCAGGTACATACATAAGCTTTCCAATACTGATTATACGATTGAAATAAAAATTTCTGTTCAATAAAGGATTAAATACTCTTGATTTTTCTTGCTTAATTTTTAGGCTTGTAACTATCACTTTTATGAGGCTTGGAAAATTGAATGGACAACTCATTCTATGGGAAAGCTTGGTTATATTGCTTGGAACGTTTTTAGGTGCTTAAATTGATTTTTTATATTTAAATTTTCTGCATAATTAAAACCACCAAACGATTAATTAAGAATTCGAATTTCTCACGTGCCGGGCCCGATCTCGATTTTTTAAACTTACCCGAGTTGTTTTCCTGATTAAACCCCCAATAAATTGGAAACCCCGAAAAACTCTACTATTTATAAAACTTAAATTATCCTTAAGAACTGCTGCGTCAATCTTATCATTCGGAATGTCAACCAGCCACAACGGCGGATTTAAGGACTATACACACGAAGTTGTTCAGTCTTTTGTCTATTGTCGTAATTGATGTCGTAACATGACTCTTACCTGTGAGCTTACCTGGTCTGGAAAAGAAATGCGCTGGGGCTACTATAAGGAATATATTGCTCAAAAAAAATCACGAGAATTTACTAAATCACGTTTGTCTTTCAACAAGATTAAAATAGTGTTTGATGGAATGTGGGAAGAATACAACTTAATTAATCGTAATTGTGCCGATTGGGCAGAGGAGTTTTATGGAATTATTTGTAATTTGGCTTGAAAGATTTTTGGACTAAATTTTTTTTATTTAAAATTATATTTAAAAATATTATTTTTCAATAAAATTTGGTTTGCTTGCAAAAATAAAATTTAAAAATTGTTTTTCAATTTATTTGAAAATTTTTTTGAGTTTTCTACTCAACTAACATCATTTATTACCATTTTTTATTTGCCTACAGCTTTGAACAATTTAAAAAATTATTTTTAATTTATTTAAAAAAAAATAAACATATTTCTGTCTACATTTTTGTTAACCTTTGTTTACAATAAATTTTTATACAAAATTTATACAAAAAATAATAATTATTCGTGATTTGGGTTAAAATTTTTTTTATTTTTTAAAGACGAATAATAAACAAAAAGAAATTGCCAAAATTCTTAAATTAAAAGAAAAGAATATATTAAGATTTTATCAGTTTTTAACAACTTTTTCTTATTTTAACAATACATATTTTTGTTTATTAATAAATAAAAAATAGGAGATTACTATGTAGGAAGGAGATTTTTTAGTAAAACTTAATTTTATTTATTCGTTTCATACCACTTCAGAAAACTAAAAATTTTTATTATTAAATTCTCATACTTTTTAGTTTAGAAAATTATTGTCCGAAATATTTTTTGAAAGCTACAAAATTTAAGATTAGAATTAAAGGCTGTTCACGACTAATTTTATAACCGAAAATTACCGTATATACTCCGTTAATTACCCTACCTCAAATAATTACCCTCCCCAGAGAGAGCGGTTGAAACAATAATTATCCAAGGTAATTAATAGAGTATATACGGTATATATTTTTGGGAAAGATAAATAAAAATCATTTTTAATACATCCAAAATTAGAAAACTTTAAGAATATACTCTTTGTTTTTTTTAATTTGTCTCTTAAAAGATGTCTCAAATTTAAAGTACCTCTCGTTATAAGGTAAATCCCATGGAGATATTAAAAATGAGGTTCTAAAAACGATGTTAAAATGAAACAGGTTATTAAGCCTCGCCTATTATGCCATCTAAATTCCTTATTTATTATATCCTATTTCATATTCCAAACTTTTCCGATTCGATATCTGAAGATCTCTTATGGTATCATCTGTATACATTAAACGAACTTTTTTGCATAAGTATAGATTCTTTTTTAATTTCTCTCAAATTTTCATGAATTATACGAGCTTTAGAATTTATTTTAGAGCAAATACAGTGAATATAATAATTTAAAATGTCTAATTCTTCTGAAACGGATCACCATTCTGTTTGGAATGATACTGGCTATTGTGTAAGTAGTTTTTAAATGTTCGCTCCCCTATTCCCTAAGCATTTCGAGCTTTCTACCACTATCGAATAATACCACTATCTCGGTTAGATCTGATCCTTCTGAATTAAAATATAAGAATATATTAAAATGGGGTTGATTTTATTTCTCTATTCAATAATAAATTCCTCTGGATAAATTTGTCAGATTTAATCTCATTTACTTTTACAGGATTGTAGTGCCATGTTTTATGAAGTGTTGGAAATTGAATGGACAACTCATTCTATGGGAATAGCTGGTCGTGTCGCTTGGAACATTATTAGGTTTTCAATTAGATTTTTTTAATTTTTAAACTGACACACGCATTACTTTTAAGCTAAAGTATTTATAGTATACTTAATAATTTGCATCCAATTAAATTTTATTTAGAATTGCTCTGATACCTGTAACACTTGGAGGATCAGCAGCAATAACAAAGTCGTATACACACGAGGCAATTTGGCTACTTGTTCATTGCCGCAAGTGTGGTTGTGACATGAATCTTACTTGTGAGCTTTCAAAGACCAGAAAGATGATGCGATGGGGGTATTATGGATACTACATTACTCGCAGAGAATATAAAAAACTTGAACCGCGTTTGAATTACAACACTGTCAAAAAGATATATGATGGGATGTGGGAGAAGTACAATGTGATTAATCGTAATTGTTTCCAATGGGCAGACAACTTCTATGACAGTATTTGTGATGAAGAATGTTATAATGGGTGGAAAAATACTAGATTTTGTGTAAGGAGTTTTTTTCTTTTTTCTCCTCTAGTTCTTACTTATATATTCATACAGAATGATCAACTTTTTCTTTTTTTCCCTTCCAATTACCTTCCATATTTTTGATACAAACAATCAAAAAGGATTAATTTCTTATTCAGCTCTTTCTCGAAGATCCTTTTTGATTGTTGTTGGCAAAATATGAACGGCAATTGGGAGGGAAGAGAAGAAAAATGTCCATTCTGTATATATAGGAAAGAACTAGAGGAGAAAAAAGGGGCCCGGTAACTACACTATTACCATTATTATTAAATTTGGATACATTTTTCTCATTTAATTTTACAGGATTGTAGTGCCAACTTTTATGAGATTTTTGAAATTGAATGGAAAACTTATTCTATAGGTCATCGTCCTAATTCAGACCCCGTTTTAAGGTGCTTCAATTAAATTTTTTATATTTAATGCTTAAAATTAAACCGATTGACTATTTAAGCCAACACTTAAATTATTAAGATCTATTCTGGCAATGTCTACAGGTGGACTGTTACCCTTTGTCACTGCTGCTGCTGGAGGTAGGAATTATACACAGGAGGCGGTTCTACTTTGTGCTTATTGCCGTAATTGTAAATGTGATATGGATATTACTTGTGAGCTTACAAAGTCTGGAAAGAAAATGCTCTGGGGCTACCATGAATACTTTACTACATGCAAAAATTCGAAAGAATTTAAACCGCGTTTGTCTTACAACACGATCAAAGATGTGTTTGACGGGATGTGGCAAAGTCATGATGGTAATAAGGGTTGCGAATGGGCAAAGGATTTCTATGGAAAAATTATTGATAAATCTTGAAAGATTTCTGATTTAATTTTGAATTTAAAATTTACTTAAAAATAAATAAAATACATTATTTTTCAATTAATTTTTTTATTAACTATGCAAATAAAATTAAAAGTTGTTTTTCAGTTTATTTAAAATCTTGAGTTTCCTACTTTCTCAACTAACGTTATCTGTTTAAATTTTTATAACCCTTTATTTTTAATGGAAAAATAATTATGGGTGATTTGGAGAAAAACTTTTTTATTTTTTAAAAACGAATAATTATTCAAAGAAACTGGTAAAATATTAAAATTACTTTGTTTTTGTTTAGTCACTAAATATCCTATTCATATGGGAGGCGATAGAACCTTAGTTTTATGTTTAGAGAAGATTTTTCTGATTTAAAAATTGACTCCAGAATTTATTTTAGAGCAACTACTGTAAATAAAATTTAAAATGTCGACATCATCTAATTCTTCAACGGATCATCGTTCATAGGGCTTTCATATGGGCTTCTTTATGGTTATTCCCCGTCCCTATTCCACTATTAAAATTAAAATAATTCTTTAAAAAATCTTACTCTTAAATACAGGGTTTATTTTAGAGGAAATATGGATAGCATTTGGAATCCCTCAATATCCCTCCAAGTCCCCCGATCCCCTTCGAATTTATTACAGACAATAAATTCGAAAAAATTTGTTTCTGATGCTGTGGGATTTCTTACATGTTGTGCCTTTAATTTTATAATTTATTTGTTGACAACGAGTTTTTAAATTGAAATAAGATATTAATTTTGTGCGATTAATAAACAAAAAGCTCTCACTTTTCTAATCCCATAATTAAAAAATTATTTTTTAATTTATTTTTAAATAAGTTAATTCAACTACAGTCATAGAAAATAAAGATAGAAGGAAAGGCTGTAAAATTAGTTTTATTCGATATCTCTTTTTGATTATCTAAAATTTGCTAGCCTTTGTCCTATCTTTTTTTCGTGGCTGTAACAGAATTGAAATAGCCAATTTCTTTTTGTTCATCCCACATGTCGTGGACAGCTATTACTAATGGCAGATCATTTTTCCAATTAATTTTTCATTAAATTCATTTGAATTTATTTTTAATTAATTCAAAATATTCTTTCTTTTGATCATAATATTCAAGAAAAATATGTCACTTTAAACGTTCTCTTCCTCTTCCAAATCAGTTATATTGGCATGTACATATTTTACTAAGTCATTTACCGTATATGCTCGAATAATTACCCTGGGTAATTATTTTTTTGACCTCTCGCTGGAGGGGGTAATTAATCGAGAGGATAGGCTAAATTTGGGGTATATCCCAATAAATCGAGGAGAAAATCCATTTATTTTTTGATATTGATTTTTACAATGTTCCAATAATTAAAATTGACAATGATTCTTTCAATATTTTTAAAATTAGAGAAGGAAAGGGAGGGGGTAATTATTAAAGAGGGTAATTATTTGAGAGAGGTAATTCAATTATTCGAGCACTTACGGTATGTAGATTTAAAGAATAATGAGTTAAGCTCCAATGAGTCCTATTTAGCTCCTATTTAGCTCCTATTTAAAATAATTTTCTAAAATTTGGTTAGTATTGTGTGGGGGATGCTGTCTTGCTCGCATATCACATTAAATTAAATATTTATCTCGTTTAATATCGAAACATACTTATTGAAAACACAACTTTCTTGTATATGTTTAGAGAATTTTAAGATTTAATAAAATATATCTTAAAGTAAATATAATAATTTAAAATGTCATCATCATCTAATTCATCAACGGATCATCGTTCAAAATGGACACCTACTGGTTGTTGTGTAAGCCGCTTTGTAAATTAAAAATTTTAACTACCTAAATTTTCCCATAATTTTCTTGTAAAGTCAAAGGTCAATTAAATATAAAATAGGGTTATAGCTTAGATCTCTCCCCATGCCTAATAGCCAAACAAAGTAGAATAAAAATTACAATAAATAATTTCCGGATTAAATTACCCTAAATATTTGTTCTCATTTTAATTTTACAGTCTTGCAGCTACGACTTTTATGAGATTTTGAAAATTAAATGGTTAACTCATAATATGGGTGGTATGCTTGGTCCTGTCATTTGGGACACTTTTAGGTATATATTAATTAGAATTTATAATTAAACTGGACTGTTTAAGCCAGGGATGCTGGCGACTGAACCAGTACCCCCGTTTCGGTTATAAACGGTTTCTGGTTCGATTAACCGATAGTCTACAACCCTAATTTAACCTAACTTATGTTATTTTCAAGAACTATTGCGGCAATTTGCACTCTCGGATTGTCATCAGTGGATGATGGTGGATTGAAGGCGTTTACACACGAGGCGGTTCTGTTTGCTGTTCATTGCCGCAATTGTGGTCGTACAATGGCTCTTACCTGTGAGCTTTCAACGTCTGGAAAGTATATGCGCTGGGGCGGCTACTTGTTATATACCAAAGAAAGGAAATCACGAGAATTTAAACAGCGTTTGTCTTACAACAAGATCAAAAAGGTGTTTGACGGGATGTGGGAGGAATACAATTTGATTTCTGCTAACTGTATGCATTGGGCAAGAGATTTCTATGGAAGAATTTGTGATTGATTGAAAAATTTTAAATAAAACATTAAATATATACAAGTTTTGCAATAAAAATTTTTTTTACTATACAAATAAAATTAAAAATTGTTTCTTAATTTATTTAAAAATTTTCAAATTCTCTACTTCTTCAATTATAATTAAATTAATTTATAAATCTCTATTTGCCTACAGTTTTGATATTTTCGAGGCTAACTTGAGAATTGACCTTTTGAGGCGGACCCTTTTCCTGAAAACTTTTATTCCGGAATGCTCTTGAGTTTTCATTTTCCTGTTAAAAGTAATAATATTCTATAGTAGAGGATGATTTAAGGCAAATTAAAAATATTTACAAATTTAATTTTCTATTCGGGAAAGAATATGTAAATTAAATGCACGTTAATAAATTACTAAAATTTAAATTTATTTTTTTCTATTTTGTAAATTTCCAAAAAAATTTTGTTGTTGTAAAGGTAAACTACAACAATCAATTTGTAACATAAGTGAGGATGTTGATAAGAATAATATATTGTTGGGGTTGGAATTAACTAAAGCTGAAAAAAACATTAATTTACTGGTGATTTATTGTTTCTTGTTTTTGGTCATTTTAGTCATTTTTCCTAAAATTTTGTGTTTTGTTTATAAGCAAAAAAAGTGGCTGAAATTGACCAAAAATCAAAAAAATAATAAATCAACAACGAATTTTATATGTTTTTCAGTCTGTTTATAAACACAAAAGGGTTAATTGTGGTTATAAACAAAACAGAGAATTTATGATCGGAAGAAAGTCTTTTAGCTATTCAAGTGTTTTGTGAGATAGTATAAAATATAATTCCATTTTATTCATTCAAAATCATTTTCTCTAATTTTTTAAAAGATTTTTCTTTTAATTTATTTTTCAGATCAACAAATTATTGTCTAGAATATTTCCCGAAAGCTACAAAATACAAAAGATTTTTGTAGGCTGTTGGCTGTTTTTTGTTGGCTGTTCACGACTTTTATATAACCAAAATTTTACTTTTCCTAATGGAGTTCAAAAAATGGAACCTCTTTTTAAATGCATTACATTAACCCCCTATTTAGGAAAAATTCTTAATTTGGTTGGCTATAAGATAAGGGAATTCTCCCAAATTTAGAATACCTCATCGTTATAAGCTACAAATTTTCAGTCAAACAAAGGTTTATTAAAAAATGAAGTTTAATTGGATTAATAAAATTATTGCAACTCTCTACATCCTTTACTAAAGAAATAACCAAAAACTACGAGGTATCGGTCAGGGATCGCGCCGATAGAAAATCAAATTCCCGATTTTTGGGAATCGGGAATTTCTCTGGGCAGGTTATTAAGTCGTAAACAGCCAATTAAAATATTTCCTCTAAAATAAGCTCTAACTTCAAAATACCTCTATATGAATTATTTTCTTAAAAGATCCAAAAATTTCCAAAAAGTTAAAATAATAACATTAAAAGTTTTGGCAAATACAATCGTATTTTAAGGCTAAATAAACTTCCCAAATTTAAGCAGGGTTTTCTTTCCCTATTTAGATCAATTCTCTCTAGTTTAACACTCCCAATTGTAAATATCCACGTATCCTTATTTAAAATCGAGGGTTAACTATATTAGACATACAAATTACTCGAAAATGCCCGATTGGATAGATTTTTGGATCCTTTATAGACACCAAGGTTTATTTTAGAGGAAATACGGGAAGTATAATACTAGTTGGAATGTCTTCATTTGAGGAATTTAATTCTTCAGCTGATTATCATTCGAGCTGGACAGAAATGGACTATTGTGTAAGTCTTTTTATAAATTTGAAAATGATAAATAGTGATATCTGGGTTTTATATTACAACATTTTTGATTTCGGAACGGGATTCATAAATGGTTGGATCCAGTCTCGTATTGGGTCCAGTCTTTTAGTTTAGTATTTCCGGAGGATTTCTAAAATTATTAATGTTTGCGGGCCCCCTTGTTTGTAGTGTTTTAAGAGGGGTTATTGTGGGTGAAGCAAAACCGTTTTAAATTTTGCTTCATTTAAACGCTTTTTAAATTACAGGGTTGTTCATCCAACAATTATTATGCTGTAACAATTATTTGGAGCACTCATTGTATGGGAGAATTTCTTCGTGGGGTTTGGGATGGTGTTAGGTATTTTTTACATTCGATAAAAATCCCATAGAATTCCTCTTGAATTTATTTAGAGAATTTATGAAAAATGCTACATTTGGCTTCTCAGCAGAGTTTAATGGTGGATTGAAGGAGTATTCACATGATGCCATTCTTATTGTTATTAAATGCAAAAATTGTGATCGTGGCATGCTTCTTACCTGTGATCTTGGAAGGAATGGAAAGGAAAAGCGTTGGGGCTACTATGATATGTATCTCGATATGAAATTTAAGCGCGTTCTGAAACCGTCTTTGCCTTATAGCAAGATTGTAGAGGTGTTCAATAAAATGTGGCAAAAATACGGCTTAATTAATTGGAATTGTTCGCATTGGGCAGGAGATTTCTTTGAAAAAGTGATTAATTTGTGTGATTCTACGGAGGAATTAATTCTGCCAGAATAACTGACAGATTTTGAGGAATTTATGGAGTTAATTTTAAAATTTAAAAATATATCCAAGTAAAAAGTTTTTCAGTTAAATTTTGTGACTCTATAAATTTGTTGGATAAATATAATTTTTCTTTAATTTCCACATTTTTATTTAAGTTTTCCGGAAAATTTTAAATATTTATTACTGAAAAGAATGTTTAAGACAAATTAAATATTTATAAATTAAAATTTCCACTCGGGCAAGAAAATATAAATTAATTATTAAATGGCACTTTTAATAAGGAATCCTACAATATAAATTTATTTTTCTCTATTTTGTAAATTTCCAAAAGAATTTTGTTGTTGTAAAGGTAAAGTACTACAACAACCAATTTGTAACATAAGTGAAGATGTTGAAGAATATGGAGGAATTGACAAAAGCTGAAAAAACAAAGTTTTTGAACAAAAAAAGTTTTTCCAACCGATTGAGAATTATTTGCCGTTGCTGCTGTCACAATCCCCGGAATTTGCAAAATTTGTGGAGACGTAGCTGGTGGATTTGGGGAAGTTACATTAGACTGTACAATTGAAGAAGTAACACTTGTCCTTAAACGTGAATAACTACGAGTTTCTGCATCTTCGGGTAATAATAATTCTGCCATTAATTCGTCTACATTTGCCAAACCTTTAAAAAATAAAAATTTTCAAATTTCCAAACTTTGACGAAAAAAATTTAAAATTGGGGAGAATTCAAAATTTATTTTTCTCAATTTCCCCGAAAATATTTTTTTTAATTTTCTAGCAAATATTCCTGATTCCCCGGAAAAATACATACAATTTAAATTATAATTCTGAAATATTTTCCTTAATAAATGGGAAAACCCTTCCGGGAAACCAACAAAAATATATATTGAAAATAGCAAAAATTGTGTTAATCTGATGAGCTTTAATTAGAGGATGTCAGATTATACTTTTTAATTTTAGTCAATTTCAAATGAATTTAATTGAAAAAATTTTGGCAAAATTCTTGCTGTCCATAAAAATTTTATGCCACAAAAATTTTTTCCAACAGAAAATCATCCCTTAAAAAATTTTTTACCAAAAAGTTTAGCCAATTGTGCTTCTTCCACCAAATCTCTTCCAATAGCCATTAATGGGGGTAATAATAATAATAAATTAGCCAGTCGATTATTTAAAGAAATTAGTTGTTGATTATTAACTTTATTGGTTACTTGATATTCAAATGCCAACATTATTTGTTGCCGAATTTTTTCTATTTCTAATTTGGCTGGTTCTTCTATATCTTTTGCCACTTTTTAAGGAAAATAAAATTTTGAAAAAAAATTAGAATTTTAAAATAACTTGGATCAAAAAAAGCAACAGCTTTTAATGCAACAAATTCTCTATCTTCTAAATGGAGACGACGCATTGGGGCTGTTAAATGGTCTAAAATACGGGCAACAACACGACTGGAAAAATAAATAAACAAATAATTATGGGTGATAACTAAAATCAGAATTAAAAAAAATTATAAATATTTTAACAGCGAAAAATCAGAACCAATCCCAAGAAAAATCAGAAGTTCAAAAATACAAAAAAATCAGAAAACTCCATAAAAATTAAAGCAAATCAGAATATCAAAAATATAACCAGAAAATAAAAATAGCATTAATTAAATATAATCAGAATTAAATTCGGAAACACAAAATCAGAATTAATAGAAATCAGAATTAAAATCATAACAAGACAAAAGCAAAATAAAAATAGATTCTGATTTTTAAAAAAATAAATTCTGATTTTTCTGAAATTATTCTGACTTTAAAAAATAAATTCTGATTTTTAAAAAAAATTCTGATTTTTTCTGAAATTATTCTGATTTTTCAGAGATTATTCTGATTTATTTAAAAATAATTCTGATTTTTATTTGTTCAATTTTATTGGTATTTTTGTTCCGATTTTAATATAGACCAGAATTAATTTAGAAAAATCAGAATTAAATTCAGAAAAAACAGAATAAAAATAAAAATCAGAATTAATTTAAGAAAAAATATCAGAATTTATTTAAAATTAAAAACCCACTTAACATCAGGCAATTTAGGAGCATCTCTAGGCACACAACGATCATTAGCCAACCAAATAGCGTCATTACTTTCACAACTTGAAATGTGTTTAGAAGACCTATAAGCAGCACAAATAACCAAATGTTGAGCTGAAAAATGTCTGAGCAAAGCAATTTGGGAAAATAATGAAAGGCGTCGAAATTCTTCTAATTGTTTGGCCCATTCAACTAATAAAATTAATTGGTGGTGCATCTAAAATTAAATTTTATTTAAATTTTTAAATGAAATTTGGATTAAAAATTTGTTATTTCATCACAAAAATATTTAAAAATTATTAAATTAAAAAACAGTAAAAACAAAAGTCTAGCATTAAAAAAAGGCCCCGTAGTCATAAACATTGCCGGAAATTGTTAAATAAAATAGGGGATCTTTTTTATATCGACAAAAAATATGAAAACTAGCAACTAGATATTGACCAGAGAATGGAGATCGGACTGTGAGGAGATAGGAATTTAAAAAAAATCTCGGGAAATGAAAAAAGAAGATGGACTGACCGGGAATTCCAATCCCCATTTTGGCTTCCCAGTAACCAGACATGGTCATGGATACAGATAATACCAAAATGCCTGCGGATATCAGCCTGTATCCGCCTAAATATCCGGATACCGAAATCCGTATCCGTGTCCTAGTCTGCCAGAAACCCCAATAATAACTAAAAATTAGAAGGAGGACATAAATATCGCCCACAAGGAAATTTTTTAAAAATTAATTTTATATGTATTTTTACCGAATCTGTCACATCCCCAGTCGTTGCAATTTTACAATTATTTTTCATTTCCACTTTCATTTCTTTTTCATTAACACTATTTTCTTCCTTTTTATTATTCGAAGATAATATTTTTTCAGCATTCATTAAACGAAAAATAATTGCTTTATTTTCTGCTATGGCAGCATTTTTTAATTTTAATTCTTCATTATTTGTTGTTGATGTTGGGGATGATATTGGTGTTTGGTTATTTAGAGAATTATTAAGTAACTTCTTGTCGTCCCTAAAAATTTTTGAAAAAAATTTTTAGTAAAAATTTGGAAATTAAGGGTGACTTGGTGTTAAATGAGAAGGCAAGGAAAGGGGTTAATAATCCAATTTCGGCTTTCCAAAAATTTTTTTCATTAAAAAATCTGCCTTGTGGATAAAGTTATCCTTTAAATTACAACAATTCGACTAGTTGCAGAAATCCGCAAATTTTATCCGCAAATAAAAATTTTCGGATTTTCTAATTTTTGAGAATACCAGACATAAAGGAAACAAAAAACTTGAAAGAAAATTAAATAAAAAGAAATACCCATTTTCTGTATTCACCAAAAGTTTCATGTTGTCACAATTACTTCTTCGAGTAGCTGCAATCCTGTCACGTTCAAGTTGCACTGCTTCAGGGCGCATTCCGTTTATTAAACATTTTTCAAATCGACAACGACGACAGGAATTGCGTTGATCTAAAATAAATGAAAAAAATTATTTTGATTTTTGCAAAAATCCGCAAATTTTGTCCGCAAAAAAATGCGGATTTTTTAATTTAAAAAATTCATACTTTTATCAACAACACAATTACTGTTGAAACGGCACACATAAATATGTTTTTTGCGTATAGTACGGCGAAAAAAGCCTTTACAGCCATCACATGAAACGCTTCCATAGTGTTTACCTTTAAATTTAATTTTTTAACTGGTCAATTTTTGTTAAAAAAATATTTTTAAAAAATTGGATTCCAATAGAAGAGGGAATTTCTCAGAAAATTCAAAAAAATTTCTACTCGAAAAAATTAATTTTTAATTAAAAAAAACCCTCTCAAACCTGTCGCCCTATCCGAACAAATTAAACAATCAGCCTGAATTTGTCCATTAGCCCCAATTGGAAGACCTCCCGACGCTTTTCTTTTTGCCCTCTTAACAGTTCCATTTTGCACTGTAGAAGGAGAATTTACAGGTGTTGAAGGATTTCCCATAATTAAAGATTGTTGAAATAAAGGGAAAGAAGTATTTGTCAATGCTGCAATACTTGCTAGAGAGGAACAACCAGTAGAATTTCCTAGTAAAACAGCAGCATCTGACAATGTAAAGCTGGCTAAAATTAAAATTAGGGCTGTTAAAATATTTAGAAAAAAAGTTTTCTTGAAAAATTAGAAAATTTATTTACTGTCCGCAAGTTCATGAACTTGCGGACTTACTGTCCGCAAGTTCATGAAAAAAATCCGCAAGCTCATAAAAAAATCCGCAAGTTTATGAAAAAATCCGCAAACTTAATTAAAGAGTCCGCAAATTTAAAAAGTCTGCAAAACTGACACACACCAGCTTTCAAAATAATTTTAAATTTAACTTCGTAAGGAATTTTATCGTCCGCAAGTTCATGAAAAAAATCCGCAAGTCCTAAAAAATGTCCACAAGCCTAAATAAAAAGTCCGCAAATTCTAAATAAAGTCCGCAAATACTAAAAATCCGCAAAACGGACATAACCAACTTTCAAAATAATTTTAAAAATTTAACTAAACTAATTTACAAAAATTAAAAAACCCCTCACCTTTATTTAAATTTACAGGCAAAACTTCTTTATCAGATACAGTCAACTGCTCCTCCTTCCTTCCAGTCAAATTATTTGCTTCTTTTATTTTTTGTTGTTTATTTAGCTCTAAAAATTCCTCAATATTCTTTTCATTGCTTAATTCAATTTTGATCATTTTCTACCTTTTTAAAAAGAAAATTTATTAACCATAAAATGTCCACACCTTTCAATCTTTTTTAATTTTATTTTTAACCCGCCTAAAAAAATGGGGGTACACCACGGCGCCAGCCCATTACGGCGCCGGGCCATAACTTTTGTTAGAAATTTTGAATCTCTTTCGACCCAGTATTGTTCGACTCAGCTCTTAAAGAGCTACAAAACCTTGCTAGACCCTTCAGGCTTCAAAATTCTAGACCAAAGTTATGCCCCTACGTCGTAAATTGCTTCGCGCCGTAAAGGCCTTCTCCTTTAGAAAAAGTAAAAATTAATGTTTTTATATTGATTTAACAAAAATAAAGATAGTGGACAGAAAAGACTGACATTTTTTTAATATAAAATATATGACAGTTAAAAATTTGTAAAACGTGACACGATATATTACAAACTTGAATAAAAATAAAGTTTAACCCCCAAAAGACCAACAAAAAAAAGTTGTCCGCAAATTTTTAAAAATGTCCGCAAAAGTTTAAAATAAAAATTTTGATTTATTAAAAGAAGAAAAGTGAAATCAAATTTGATTATTTGGTTTAATAAAAGGGGAAAGAATTTTAGGGAAAAAATTTTTTAGAAAAAAAAATTTTTTTAGACAAAAAAATTTAAGGATTTGATCAGGTCTCCTGAATAAACTGAAATGATGTCAAGAAATTTAAAGAGAATTGTTCAAGGAATGAATAAAAAATAAAAAAAATTTAAAAAGAAAAAGGAAAGAAAAATACAAAGAAACAATTTTTGACCAAAAAATTAGAACAGAGAAACCCAAAAAATACAAAATTTGCGGCACGCGCCGTCAAGGATCGCTGGGTTCCCATCTAGTAACATATTCCTATTCCTTTTTTCCATTTCCAACCTTGATCTGTCGACCTACCCGTAACTTCAAAAATCTGATTGGACTCATAAACTTTTCAATAGACTCATAAACTGTGATTAGACTCATAAAGCGCGATTGGACTTATAAAGTGTGATTGAACTCGTAAACTGCAGTAGAGCCTAATTTTATTGTCCGTAAATCCTAAAATGTCCGCAAATTTCAAAAATGTCCGCAAGTTTTTTAAAAATTTTTTTGTATGAAGAATATTCCCAAATATTTTCTCGAATTTTGTTAAATGGTTTGTTGATATAAAGAATATTCATTTATATTTTTTAAAAACTATTCTCTAAACAAAATAATTTTTCTTTTTTAAATTCCCTATAAAAATTACAAACATTTTCATTTTTATTCTTATCTTTATTTTTCTTTGCTGGAAAATCTTTTTTGTATTTTAGTTTGTGTGAACAAACATTTTAGTTTAATAAAAATTCTTTAAAGCGACAATCATGCTATTTAACGGTAAATAAAGAGAAGGAAGTAGTTTTTTCTCGAAAAAATAAAAATTTTTATTTTATTTTTGCGGACATGTTTTGCGGACATTTTCACTTTTGCGGACAAGGGTAACCTTTGATCTTCCAAAAATCCAAAAATTAAGTGAAAGGACAGCCCTACCCATTATTTAAATTTAATTACCATTGTCCACGAATCCATTAGAAAATTGAATAAATCCAGCTCAACTTCTTCAAAAAATGTGATGCACTGTTTAATGTTCAGGTATGAGAAGAGAAGCTTTATTAGGGCAAATTGTTCATTGAAATATTGAAAAAAAAGTTTAAAAAATTTTCATCATCGTAATTTAAAAATATTTGGAAAAATAATCCAAACAAAATTAAAAAAAATTATGATAAATAAAAAATTTTTTTTAATCAAATACAAGAAAATACCCATTTTAAAGCACAGAAAGCATTATTTAATTAAACAATTTATTTTCCTCTATTTCCTCCAAAAATTCTCTCATATCAAGCAATTTTAGCCAATTCCTTATTTTTCAATGCAAAAGCTCGAAAAGCATCTTTGACAAGTTGTTGACAAGTTGTTTTGTTTGCATTGAGTCGAACATTTACCATTCTTTTTAAATAAATTTTAATTTTAAAATTTTGATTTTAAGTAAATTGAAGACTAAAAAAGGGTTTAAAATGTCAGAAAAAATATCAGAGAAAGAGAATTAGGAGCGAAATCATGCCCGTGACAGGTGTCAAATACCGAGTTAAATCCCAAAAATGCCAGAGAACCTCAAAAAACACCTTATCTAAAACGATAATTAAGGACCCCGGGTAATAATGTCGTTTCCAGTCCCCCTTTTTTCCTCCCCAAGTTTTCTCCTATAATTTGAACAAAATGGACAGATTGTTCAAATTATCCTTCTTCGATCACAATTGCCTTACACTTACACTTAGTATATTTTGCCCTCAAACAATCAAAAATGATTATTTTTTCCAGTTCTTTAGAAAGAAAGGAAGGCAATTGGAAGGAAAGTCTGTCCATTCTGTTCAAATTATAGGAGAAAACTTGGGGAGGAAAAAAGGGGGACGGGAAACGACACTATTACCGGACCCCGTTCACTGATATTTTTGCCCCAAGAACCTGGACTGCAAAAATATTTGACAGAGAAATGAGGATGTCTACTAAATCTTAAATCTGAGGATGTCTACTAAAAAAAAAAAAAAAAAATCTGAGGATCTAAAAAAATCTGAGGATGTCTACTAAATGAGGATGTCTACTAAATCTTAAATCTTAAGTCCACAAATTTTAAGAGTAAATCTACTTATTATCAGCCTCCATAGAATGCGCCTCAATTTTGCCAACAGCATTAATAGCCACCAAAAGAAAACCAATAATAATCAAAGAAAAAAGGAACGGAATAATTGCCATAGCCAATAACCAAATTTCCAACCCTTTCTTCACCTCACTATCACAAAATTCAATAAAGCCGTCGGAAGTAGGAATGAAGGTTGTGTCGGTTAAAGTTACGTTGGTAACTGCCACTAAATCTGTAAGATTGTCCATTTCTAGGTTTACAAATAGAGAGTGGCTATTCTGAAAAAGACAAAAAATTATAAAAGAAAAATTTTAAAAGACGCGTGAAATAAAAAATTTAAAAAAATACGGGACACGCCCAAGTAGGCGCGCGGCCATGTAGGCGCAAAGCCATAACTACCTTGAAAAATTCTGATCCTTATCAATTTTGGTATCAATCTCTTAAGCTCGATGAGAGGAATCGTTTAATACCAAATTTGGTAAGATTCGGAAATTTTGAAGCAAGTTATGACTTTGCGCCTACTTGGCCGCGCGCCTACTTGGGCCGTACCCAAATAAAAAATTTAAAAAACGAGAAGGACATTACAAGTTTCACCATTTTGTCAGTTTCTCCCCTTTATGACGTTTTTAATTGTAGGTGTTTTGTAATGTGCAAAATTAAGACGAAATAAATTTGCAAAAGAAAGTAATGTTGAGCAGAGAAAAATAAAAAAATGAAAAGAGTTGAGGGAAAATATAAAAATATTCTCGGTTAGACACGATTCGGCGCCCACTGAGCTGGCGCGGAACTGAGCGGCGCAGAAAAGTGTGCGCCGAATCGTACCCCACCGAAACATTTTAATTAATTTCAAAGTGTCAACTAGCAAAAAATAATTCAAAACATCTAATAATGGGAGTAAAACAACCGATCAGTTAATCACTTTTCTTCTCGATTTTAGCATTTCTTATCTTCAAAATAATTTTTTTTTAATTTTGTATTAATGGAAGTAGTGGTTAATGGTGTGTTTATTTATTTATTATTTTTTAATTAAATTAATTTTTAGATCCCCTAGCCGAGCCTTGCCAAGTTTGTGGGGATAAATCAACAGGTACTCATTATGGCACAATTTCTTGTAATGGATGCAAGGCATTTTTTAATTTCTTTTTTTTATTTTAAATTTAATTTGTTTAAAGGGTTTTTTCCGCAGAACAATTTTGCGAAATCAAAAATTTACTTGTCGTTTTGACAAAAATTGTATTATTGACAAAAACTTTCGTTGCGCTTGTCGTTATTGTCGTTTTCAGAAATGCTTGAGGTTTTTAATTATTTTTAAAAAATTTTTGGTTGTTTAAATTGATTCACAACCTTATTTAAGTGATAAAGGTCGAACTATAGAACCTCATTTTGGAAAATTGAGCGTAACAGAAACTTAACTCAGTAGCGTCGTAAGACTTTTCCATTTTCTCCATAAAAATGAAATATTATCAATAGGCCCAAAAACATGGTAGGGATAGGATTAATGAAAATATTTAGATCTTTTTCGAGAAATTTTTGTTTCGGATTCGGTAGCCAAACCGAAAATTACTGACATAAATATTTTTTCCGTTGGGATACACCAAGTTTAACTAACAAATAAGGACTTGTTCGTTTAACTAATTTCCAGTAGGTGTTGTACTTTGTCAAAAATAATTAATTTAAGTTAATTTAATTAATTTAATTTTAATTAATATTTAATTTAAGCGCTGGAATGAAACGAGAAGCTATTCAATTTGAACGTGATTCATTAAGCTCTCCAAGCTCTCCTAAAAAACGTCGGCAAACTTTGGATTATGGGGGGAGTGAACAATCTCTTTCGCCGGGAGTCGAAAGCAAACCTTCCATTTATTCTACCTCTTCTGGAATTGAAATGAGAAATTTTATTTCTGAAAATTCTGCTAATAATTATTCAAATATTATTTATTTGTTGATGGAATTGGAGGTTTTTTTTAATTTTAATTTAAAATTTTGGGGGAGCTCATTTTTAATGCTAGTATAAAATTTTGTTTTTTTTTCTCGTCGGAAAATTCAGGCTTCTAACCAGGGCCAATTTTTTCGATTCAAACTAAAAGTTTAGGAATTTTTTCCATTTTCACTGGGTGGGAGCCTAATTTTGGAACTTTGGAAGTCCATGTCTTGGCCAGATCAAATAAGGGCAAAAACGGCTCAAAATCTTTTGGTAAAAAGGACACATTCTCTATCGGATGAGCCAGTCTCGACCGTTTTTAGGTCGGACACCTCGCAACCTCTCCTTGTAAGGAATCCCTCAATTTTTCTCTAAACAATTGAAATCAAAATTTTAACCTAAATTTAACTTTAAATTTATTTTTTTTATTTTCCAGGCACGTGTAAATCAAGAAATGTGTTTGCGTTACCGAAACCTTTCTAGTGCATTTTCTGGTTCCCAGTTTGATGCTGAAGGTACTAGTGGCCCGTCTGTTTCACCAGTTTTTCATCCTAATGGGCCTTCAGCATTTAGCTCGCCTTCAGGTTCAAGACCGGCTTCGATTGAGGTTTTTAATTTTTGTTGAAACGGGAATTTCGGTTTGTTAGATCTTGAAAAGAAATTGCAATTTTTTTGAGTTTCTCTATCCTTGTAAAAACGGAAATCCAAATTCGTGAGACTAGGTCATAGCTAATGTAAATGTAAAATGTAAAAATGAAGAGGAGAGATCCACGAAATGGGGAAAATTGAAAAAATTGGAGGGGCAGGCATTTCAAAAAATGATTCCCCTCTAATGAAAATTTTTCATGCCTACGTGCCAGCCTACATAACAGGGAACGAGCTGACATAAAAATAAAATTCCCGATTTCGGGAAATCGGGATCCGACCCAAAAAATTGTCGGGAATTCCCGATTTTCGGGAATCGGGACGGCTTGTTCCCTGTTACATAAGCTGGTGAAATTAGTTATTTTAGTTTTTTAATCAGGGGAAAATTTTTTTCGGAGAATTGTGTGCTAATTTTTCTCCTTACTTTTCTTTTTCCCTTAACTTAGTTTTGTTCCACTTTCTATTAAAATTATTCAATGAAATTTATTTTTAAAGGATTTGAATGAAATTTCCCGTACAACACTTCTTTTAATGGTTGAATGGGCGAAAGGAATGCAAACATTTTCAGAACTTCGAATGGAAGACAAAGTTTATTTTTTTCTTTAAAATTTCCTTTCTAAAAATTTTTTCAGGTAATTTTATTAAAAAATTATGCACCTCAACACCTCATTTTAATGCCTGCTTTTCGATCCCCTGATACTACAAGGCTTTGTTTATTTAATAATTCTTTGTTGGGAGCTGATCAATCTCAGGGAGGAAATGAACAATTGGGGTCCTTTGCTGCGTTTAAAGCAGCAAATATAATGCCTAGAGTGTTGGACGAAATTGTTTGGCCGATGCGGCAATTAGAGGTTTTTTGTTAATAAAATAATGATTGTCCGCAAGTTTTGTCCGCAAGTTTTGTCCGCAAATTCAAAAATATTTTTAAACAAAGGTTGTTTGGGGCAGACATTTCGGGACATAGGCCTGTAGCCGGGGGAAATTCCCCCCTCCCCCTGAAATGGAAAAAAGTAAAAAATTTGGAGAGAGGATTGGGCAAAAAAGTGAATTTTTCTGACCTACTGACCATTAAAATTCTCAAAGTTTTCGCCTGCGGTGCAAAAAATCAAAAAATTTCCTCCTTGGCCCTCTCTTGAAAAAATCCTGGCTACGGACCTGTCGGAACGCACATCACAGGAAAGACATTTCGAGAGAGCTATCAAATAAATATCCGTTCGTTTTGCCCTTCTTTCTCCCCTTACAATTGCGCCCTGCTCCTTTTGGGTGCAACTCCAGCTTTACCTATCCTTACGTTAAAGCCCTTGCCTTTACATTAAAATCTTTCTCCCGAATTTGTGAACAAAAAACTTACGGACATCAATTCATTTTTTAAAAATAGTTTAAAAAAATACAGATGAAAGAAGAGGAATTTGTTTGTTTAAAAGCATTGGCATTTTTACATCCAGAAGCTAGAGGATTATCACAACATGCCCAACAAATAATACGTGAAACTAGAAATAAAATACTTAAAGGTTTTTTTCTTTAAAAATATTTTTGAAATTTAATTTTAAGCTCTTTATTCAATCATTTTGGCATCTAAACCGGTAGACGAGGCTCCAAGTAGATATGGAAATATTCTTTTGTTAGCGCCAGCCTTAAAGGCACTGACTCAATTGTTGATTGAAAATATGACTTTAACAAAGTTTGTTTTTAAATTTTTTTTTGATTGCCGTAAAATAGAGGGGCCACCTCCAGTTGAATGACCCCCTCTAATAGAAAGACCCTTTGAAGACGATTGAAAAATATTTTAGGGTAGTTTTATTGGTAGGAAATTGAAAACTAGTAATGTACAATTTTCTGTCAAGTCGGGAAAGTATGTCTCTCTTTCAGAGCGCCTGTGTTCTCTGAAGAGAAACATACTTCCCGACTTCCCGACCGGGGTGTGCCGATTTTTACTTTTCCCTATTTTAGTTTTCTTATTTCAGTCATTTTTCATTTTTGATATCCCAAGGTCTTACCCCCAACACATTTTCCCCTAAAGTTTAAGTAATTTATTTCTTAAATTTCAAAAGGTTCTTTGGCCTCGCTGAAGTAGATTCATTACTTTCTGAATTTATTCTTGACGATGTTGGAGCTGACAGTAGTGGAATCTCAACAGCACCAAAAACTATTAAAGAACAATTAACATCAACAGCCCCATCGTTTGTTACAATGGCGGGCAGTAATCGTGCAGAAATGACAACAACAAATGCTGCAATGTTACAAAATCATTCAATGAAGAATTTTGAATAAAATAAAAATGAAAGGTTTTTTTAAGTTAGAAGTAGCAGGTTTATATTGGTGAATGTGGACACAAGGTTGTCGGATCCGGATCCGAAAAAAGGCCGGATATCCGAAATTTTCGGTTAAGGTATCGAATCCGGATATCCGAAGATTTCCAACTATTCGTCAACCTTAGTGGACGCGTGACATTTTTTAAAATTGTAAGGAGCCCTGGTCCTCAAGTTTTTTGTCCACTGGTTCCTTCATACCATTTTTGTATTCGTTCAAAAAGTTTTTTTACAATCACTCCCCCGCCTTTTACAATCCCTCCCTCGTAAAATTTTATTTTTTATATTTAATCAGACTATATTTTCGCATGTCTTATTTTTAGAAAGTCGTTTTATTCGGAATTTTAAATATCTTTGACATACATAGACATTAATATATTGTTGTTATTTAATCAATATCAAGATTCTTCAAGTCTTTTTTAGATTTTTGAATTTTCTGGTTAGCAGGGATAAGTCGGGATTCTTATTTCCAACGTTTTCGTCTCTTCCAATCTCCAAAAATTTCCAAGTCTTGACATTCGTGCCAGTTCTGATTCCCGGCGCTCTTCGGCCGTTCCGACCTATCTCTGCTGTTTACTTTGTTAGTCCCTTTTCTAAATCCTACTTTTATATAAAATATATGTCTATTTGAAATAATTCTTTAAAGATTATTTTAGCCCTAGTTTTCAGTCTATATATTTAATTGTGATAAATAATCAAAAAAAAACAAATGTCTATCCAAAAAATTTTAAAACATTCAAAATCCATAAATAACCAACATTTAAATCAAAAAACCTATATTTTCTCTCCATTTTAAAGAGGATAAGCAAGTCGATCATTCTTCGGTTTCTTAGATGGCCAATTCCACGTAATAAAATGTTTTTCTCCCAACAAGCGTCTCATCAAAATGTGTTTTCCTCCTTTAGTTTCGTACAAAAGTCGATTAATATTGTCCATTTTTAATTTGTGTTTGGCACTAAATGGGAAGTATGCTTGTTGGTAACTGCTTCGGTGCCAAGGGCAGTTGTTACGCACTTGGAAAAATGAAGAAACGACCAAATGTTTGCAAAGAAGAGAATGACATCCGTTGGAAGGGTTGAAAAGCTCCAATGCGCGAGTGAATGAAGTCATCTAAAATTTGAGAAAAATATAAAAATGGTTTAGTTTTCCCTCCATAAGATTTATGTAAACTAGAAATTCATTTTAGCTTTGGTAAAAAATCAATTTCGTCAGTTGGGGTCGAACCCACATCTAAACACACCAAAACCTAATCCTTTCCCACTACACCATGACACACTTGTATCAATTTTCAAATTCAACTCTTTTAAATTAATCAAATTAAATAACCTTGTAAGGACAAAACGTAGATTATTGACCAACAAATCCAAATTATCTTCTTGATCAGAAATCAATTCAAAAAATTAAAAAAATATAAATAAAATTAATAGAATATTTAAAAAATAATTTTTGGATATATTAACCAAACGAAAATCTTTATTTTACAAATTTATTCTTAAAAAATATTTAATTTAAAGGTGTAAAAATAAATATAATACAAGCTTTTAAAGGGGTATTTGTTTCTACAAAAAATCTAAAAATATAAAATTAAAGAAAATCAAGAAAATTAAAGAAAAAAGAGTATTTTTAATAATTAAATCAGGCATTTACAATTATTTTAAGACAAATTAGAGTCAAACTTGGGAGACTGATCGCGGTCGACACCTAGAAAAATCCTCAAGCTCGTTGGCCAAAATTTTCTGAACTCGATCCGGTTTCTAATAAATTCCTTGTAAATAAACTTGAAATTTTAATTCCTAGCAAATGACTGATCTTCAAAAAACGCAAAAAAATATTAATTTTAAAAAATTGTTTTTGAAACAAAATATTTTGTGTGGGTATTTTAGATAAAAGATTGGATTTGATTAGTGAAATATTTCTTGGAAAAAAATATTTTAAAAACTAAAAAATATTCAAAAAACAAATCCAATCTTAAAATTAGAGTAGCTCCCCAAGCCTTCGGGGACGGATGTGTCGGGGATCGGGGTTTGCCGGGGAGGGCAGGTCGGGGTTGACTTTTGAGTTTTTTTTGAATTTTTTGATGCCAAAAAAATCGTCGGGTACGGGAAGCTACCCTACTTAAAAATTAAAAAAAAGCTAACAAAAAAAATATTTTAAGAAACATACATAGTAGTGTGGGACAAAACCGTTTAGCTAAACGGTATACGGTAAACGGGTTTTTTGGTAAAATTAAACGGAACGGTATACGGGTCTCAGATAAACGGCTTACGGCTTTTTCAAAATTAAACGGTTTGTCCCACCCTAATATGTACATAGTATAAAAAGACACTTGAAAATTATATGGACGGAAAAATCACTCGGTAATTATTTAAAAAATAAAAGGGAAAAAGCCAAAAGAATTTTTAAATATTGCCTTTAAAAATTTTTTTAATTTTAAAATTATCTAAAAATACCTAAGCTTGTTTTCAAAAAAATTTTTGGCTCATTTCCCTTAAAAAATAAATTATAAAATTGGATAGATGAAAATGAGTATCTGCAAATTTAGAGGAAACTTGTTAAATTAAAAAAAGGTAGAGAGTTATGACATGAAAAAATTATTTTTTTAAATCGAGTTTCTAAAAATACAAAATTTCACATTGATAAAATTAAACAAAAAAAAAATTAGAATAAGAAACTCGACAAAAAAATAATTTTATTTTTTGGGTCTAATACTATGTTTATTTTGTGTTAATATAAAGTTTTAGTTAAATTTAGAGAAAATAAAAACGTGAAAATGAGATACGCTTGGAAATTCTACCAAGAGAGGGAAAATATTAAATTAAGAATTTTTTAAAATTAATAATAAATCTAGGCCAGATTTATAAAAATTAGAAAGAATTAACGGAGAAGAGGCACAGCCACAAAGGGGAAGGGAAAGTCTCAAATTCCCTGACTTCCAGAGACGGGGGTGTCTCTGAAACTAACAATAACGTACATTAAAAGAATAATCACGAAAACCGCCCAAAATGACAAATCTGGCCCAGACCGAATGCCCAAAAAATTACTTTATTTAAAAAATTAAATTATACTTTTAATTTAGCCGTCAAAATTTCATTTTGTGATTGCTGGATCTGCGGGTGCCGTTTCTTCAACAAATTGTTCATGAGTGGAGGGAAGAAGCGAGGAAACTTGCTAAAAATTTAATTTTAATTCAAAATCCCTACAAAAAACAAAAAAACCTCTTCATCATTTCCAATTCTGATTTTAACATTTTCACAAGTCTGAGACAATCCTGGATTTTCTGAATTTGTGAAGGAAGTTTCAGAAACATGATTTTGTGTTTTATTGAAGTTTTGCAGTCTTAAAGAAAATTTTGTTGCGTTTTTACAATTTTCGATTTGTTGTTTTTCTTCTTGTTCTTCGAATTGGTCTAGTGCAATCTTTAAAAAGTTCGAAATTATAAAAGAAAGAAATATGCTTTTCTTCATACCAGGGATTTTAAACTTTAGGGGGTCAGTCCCACATTTCTTCAAAATTTTTAATTTTTGCTTAAGGCTACAGATAACAGTGATATCTCATTTTTGAGTGATTTAATTTTCATAAAAGGAAACCTGGACAGAAGTGAAAAGAGGAAAGATAGCTCGGTAATATTGAACCTGACAGACTCAATTTCTTCTTACATTCCCAGTTGCTACAAACAATCAAAATGGATTAATTTTTATTCTCCCTTGATTGGAAGTAAGGAAAATTGAAGGAAAAAGACTGACCATTCTGAAATATATAGGAAAACACTTGGGGAGGTAAAAATGGCGTCTGTCAGGTTCCTTATTGCCGATAGCTCCATTAATAAAAAAAAGAGAACCAATAAAAGCCCAAAAAATTTCAATTTAAAAGAAACCTGAAGTTGTTTTAAATGTGCATTCATTTCATTCAAAATCTCCTCCAACGGCTCCTTCTGTTTTAAATTAGCCAAACAAATAGGCATTGCCAAGGCCCACGAAGCGCTGACCAACGAATTAACACGCGCTTCCAAAACACGAATATCCACATTTTTGGCAGCCATTGAATACAATAAAGACTCAAAATTAGGCATCAATCTCCCACTTGCCTCACAAATAAGTTTGTCAATTTGAAGGGAATATTGATTTGATTTTTGCTGTTCTAAGGGAAGCATACGTTCTGTTAGGGAATGACAAAGGCGAAGAACGGCAACACAATTTTGAAGTAATCCAGCAGCAAAATCGTCAATCCATTGATTGTCGTTTAAAGTTTTAACTGAAAACAGAGATTATGAGAATTTTTTAAAAAATTGACGGAGTCGAAAACTGAGGAAAGCCTGGTCTGAAAAAGCTGGGAAAGCCTGGCGAGTGAGGAAGTGTGTGGTGAGGTTTTTTTCCTCAACAGGCTTCCTGGTGAGGAAGCCTAGTTTTACCGCCTAGTCTTTAGAAATTTAGAAT